TAGAACGTGTGTTGGCACGTGTAGCACGCCGTTTACCCTCTTTCGTACTCAATCAAACATAGGTGTAGGCTGAGTATGTAGGTTATTAGGATTAGGCGTAGCCACTTTTTTCTTAATCAGTGATATTTCAAAAGTTACCCCCACTCACGACCCTTGTGTTATTTCTTTATTATTATTATTATTATTGAACGTCAGTCAGAACGTTTATTTACTGCTACAGTTTTGACTCTAACTTTATTGCTGTTATCTATATAATTTGATTTTGTGTAACAAAAGCAAAAAAATCCTTCATTTTTTTCCTTTACTTTTCTTTTTAATTTTGTTCATTCAATACTATATTTAATTGGATTATCATAATGAATAATGTCTATAAACACAAGCACACACGAGAGCTGTCGTTGGGCCGTGGCACGCATAGTGGTACAGCACTGTTTAATCGTGTCTCTATGAGTTGCCGCGCTGCCTTGTAGCTGCTGAGTCGCGAAAAATAAAGTAACCGCGAGAATATAGTGGAAATTATTTGTCGCGTTAACTTCACGTGTCAATTTATTAATGATTTTTTAATGAATGATGATTGTTGTCTAACTTGCTGTCGTTCACCGCGAAACATGTTTATTATCTACTTAACATGACTTGTGAACTCTTGGCCTGTAGGGCCTTTAATAAGCACAATATTATGTTTCAATAAAATCGTGACCATTAGATTGCAATATGAATAAAATAAAAATAAAATTATATGTGACAATATGTGATTTACATAAAAAGAATGAGAAACCAAAGATAAAAGACAATGAGTAATGAAAAAAAAGTTTATTTAATAATGAGATAAATAAGCAGCGATAATGCCCACTGTAAAGTGTATTGATGCGAGTGTTGTATTCTGTTTTTTCTATCACGTGGTGTAGGCCATATTCGCCAGTTGTATCCCCGAGATTATTGACCTGATCGGGACGCGAAACAAGTATGGCGGCACTTTGAAGAACGAGCGAGGTCGCAGGTGAGACACTAAAAAAAGTCAAAATAGCTATCCCATCAAGTTACGTATGAATCCTTATTGTCACGAAAACGTTTCAATTATGTATACATCCGCATCCTGTGTTTCCTTTGTTTTTTCAGAGTTTTTTTCTGTCTATCTCTCTGTTTATTGTCATTCTTTTCTCTATTAGCTCTCCATTTGTATACTTCAGTTTATTAACAAATAAATATTCACCAACTAAGTATACCTCGAGACACGATCGTAACACGTGTCTAGGCATTGGTCCTGTATATCGAAACATTATTTGTGTGCCTGATGTGTCTTTTCTTGAAAATATATTTGTTAAGTACACTATATATTAACGTAGCATATCTTTTTTGTTATTAAAAAATAATAAAGAATTGAATTAAAAAACATACGTCATCTTCATCATCTCCACCTCTTTATCATATTAATCATTTTCATCATCTTCATCTTCTTCTTCATCTTCATTTTAAGTGTTCACACTTCTCTCATCATCGTCCTCGACACTATCCATTGCACATATCCCTATACCCAAATCAAACATTACTTCGTTTTTTACCATATAAATACGAACGACAAATCACTTGTTTGCCAGTACTGTGATTTTTTAAACTGTGTTGCGTATCTAATAGTGGCCGGTTAGCATCGTTTTTAAACTGAATTTATTGAGCCGACTCATGAGCAACAAGTGCACCAGTTTGGCATTAGTAAAACTCTGCTGAATTTGTTTAATTCCTATTTTACTGTTGAAAATAAGAAAATTAAATTGTTATTACATATATTCTTAATAATGTAAGTTTTATAGTCGAAAATTGGATTATTTTTAACAGTATGCCATAATTAAATGTGCTATCAAACTTTCTTCCCATTAGCTCAAGTAAAGCTGGCGTAATCAATAGGCTCAAGGATTATTGTTTTTAAGTAGTTGTTTTTATATTTTTCATAATTTATGTAAATATGAGTCAGCTAACGAATTGGGCCTTTTGATACGCATAACCAGTGTGTATAGCTACATGCTAGTATAATCACCGCTTGAGCATTCTCAATCCAAAATCTCTCCAGCGGTATTATACTACCTTACAACAAGCCAACGTGTCAAGTCCTTGAGCCTGACTCCGGCGTTTCACTAGTCACCTTTTGAAAACTTTTGCTGATGTATAAACTTGATCCCATCACTCACCGGATGTACCAATAACCACATTATCCACTGGTGTGTCGCTTGTTTATTCACGCTCACATACACATTTAAAACACTCATGAATACACGTAAAGTATATGTGCACTCGGAACAAATACCGCTCTGATCTATCAAATTTGGCATTCAATCGAATAGAATGTTCAAATTCGCTCGTTCATTCATTGGCCGCGATAAAAATGTATTCTTAATTGAAGAGAGACAAGTAGTTGAAAATGGTATTTACTCCACGAGTTGCACGGAACTTTTAATGTCCAAGCATGCTTTCCTGCATAAGTAACAAAATAATAATATAACCTCTCAACATTGAATGCATCAGCCGATCTTTATTATTATACATTGTTGTAACTACGTCAGCGTTTCTTGGCAGAAGATAAAAATACCTTGATGTTTTTTAGACAGTATTTCATTACATTATTGATAGCTTGTGGGAAATCCTTATATGACTATGAGAATATAGTTTTTTTGGGAAATAATATCCTCAACTAACAGGGCTTGTACATTAAATTATTTGTTTTACATTACTATATATTACTATATATCTTTATGTTACGTGTTGTATATTATATTGAAGTACAGATCTGCACTTTATCTCATACATCAATCAGGATAACGCCGGTATCATGATATAAGCTATTATTATTGTTAGCTCGATAACCGAAGAATTCGCGCGTCACAAGTACTATAACCGTTTTCGAATGAAGTGTTACAGAAACCTAGAAATAAAAAGTAACGGTAACGCAAACGAGAGCGCAACCACAATATTGTTCTATTCTTGTCTATATATACATATGAAAAGCATTGTGTGTGTTTCTTTTAACTTTTTTTTACAATACTCGCACAGAGTTGTATGTAGGCGAGAATAATGATAACAGACTTCCACTATGACCGCAAGCAGAGTTCGCCATCTGTGACAGGTCGAACGGTGTACAGAAAAAATATATTGTACGAGGAAAGAGGAAAAAAAAATAGATAAAAAGAAAATCAGGCAAAAAAATCACCAGATATAAGCTAAGGAGGAATACAATAACATTTTACACACGGTTAGGTTAACACTTCCGCGTTTGACGAGGGTTTCTCCGTATACATTTCTACACAACACAATAATAATCTCGGGTTCCTGTCACTCTGTTCTTTCTATCTCTATCTTCTTTATTTCCGTCGCGTAAAGCGCGAAAGTATTCGCATTTTTCAAAAGTGTCAACGGGTATTTCGTCGCTTCCCGTTCTTTCATATCTCAATTTTTTGTTTTACCGGCTCGTTTGCTTCTACTTTTCCGACTCGTTAACTAAACGAGCAAATCCGTCCACAACTTCGTCGTCGGACCGTGACACTTTTTTCTATTCATTCTCTTACTATTTCGCTTATTTCGTCTATACCGAACGATCGTTCAACACGTGCCCGAAAAATGTTGTGAACAACGATGTAACTCGCGCACACACAATATTCACAATAAAGTAGATCAGGCAGCATGGAATGACAAGCGTATGACATTTTTTGTTTAATTTTTTGATTATATCGAAGCCAAGCGTATAAATTGATTTTTACATACTTTTAGAAGGTAGATGATATGATATATAAAATTATAACTAATTATATTATTATACCAGCACCCTAAATCCACTATTTTTCGTTCTTTTTTCACGTATATTTAAGGAATCCGCCAAAAAAGTAGATTTACGCTAGAGTTTATCTGATTTTTCAATAATAAATAGCTTAGCCGATTCGGTTGATAAATTTTCCATAAATTTTATAATTTAGGTAGTAATTTTGAAGTATTTACGTAGATTTGTTTAGTAATAGTACTAAATTTATTATGTACAGCTGCTTGAACTACGTATTCACCAGAACGAGCCTGCACTTATATATGGATCACGTTTTTTGTCTGTTTTAATCTTACATATAATAAATAAATATATATATATATATATATATATATATATATATATATATATATATATAGTTTGAATTTTAACATTAATCACCAAACTAATTTGTATGTGAATAGAATAGAGTATTAGGTGCTACATTAATTGTTCAATTAACAAGTAGTCGATACTAATACGACTCACTCCAAATATCCTATCGTTTCCCGGTAAGTTAGTTATAGATGGATTAAAATATATATAGAAAAAAATTTCAGGTTTACTTGAATATTTCAATTTTGTCGAAGAGAACAAGTAATCTGCCTATTACTTGAAAATATATATTTTAAGTTGATGAAGAAAAAGCCGATAAATTCTATTTTTGTTTTGAGAGAGCAGACTAAAATGGTAGCAAATCGATGTCCCAATTCTCGTGTATTCTTTTACTAACTGTTTATTTTACTTTTTCTTTATTTCGCTTTCAAGTTTCTTAACCAATGTTTCATCAAAGATCACTAATCTTCTACGACTAATTTCGATAACACATAAAATTATATTGTGTTACACTCGGTTAGTTCTTTTGATTTTAACAATTTGTAATGTATTCTTTATTTAATTAGAATGTATCTTTTTATTATATTTTGTATCAAATCTTTCAAATTGTTGTATGATAAATTGTTTTCATAACCTATCTATTAATTGACATCAATATTGGATTTCGGAAATAAAAAATATTATGAAAGGCACTAAAAATTGTCTATCTCTGAAGTAGTAAAGTATCATTTTTGTTTTTATGATATAACTATTGGTAACTTTTTTCAAAATTGGTTCTTTTATCAGTGTGTAACAAATTGAAAATTTATATAATAGAAATAGATGTTAATAAAAAAAAATAAATAAATAAAGAAACACTAGCTAATACACATTTTGTGTTTGTCAGACACATTGTTGTGTGCGGCCACATCACTTACGAGTCCGTCTCGCATTTCCTCAAGGATTTCTTACATGAGGACCGAGAAGATGTCGACGTGGAGGTGGTTTTCTTACACAGGTACGTTAGTCTTCTGTAATGTTGTATATAGTTAGGAGAACCTCGAAGAAAGGTAAAAATTTAGCGTCACTTGTAAGTTATCTTGATTGCAATAAATCAAGATTATTTACAAAATGAAAAAGTGTATAGATTAAGTTGTTTTGAAACTAATAGGTAAGTATTTCGCTACAAGCTATAAGGTAAATATAGAAACGTACGAATAAAATATCGAGATTATATTACTAGGACTTGTACAGATGTGCTAGGCTAAAAAATATCATAAAAATTCATACAGATACGCTCATTATTAATAATAAATTATAGTTACCCTTTAACATGTTTTACCATTGTAAATATCCTTCTTTAAAAGCAGTTAGATCATCATCGTATTGTTTTGTCATGCATTAATTTTGCAAAAGAATGAAAGTGAAATTCAAATTACATTCTCGAATTTTTGGATTGCACTATTCATAGTTTTGTTTTATTGTAATACCATAAAACATTACTGTAACATCATTTTTCTTCATATTACACTCCTCAAAAAAAGTATATTTACGTTTGAGATAAATGTGAGAAAATAAGGACTATACGAGGAAAAGAAAGTTCGTTATTGGAAAAAATGCAGTATCACACACGACAGTCGTATAAAGGATCGTTGGCCTGTGATTACAGGAAGGAGCCCGATCTCGAATTGGAGGGCCTCCTCAAAAGGCATTACACGACCGTGGAGTTTTTTCAGGGCACCATGATGAATGCCGTGGATCTGGAGCGCGTCAAGGTACCCTCGAGAACCCTGAAGAGTCTCCATCAAAAATCCTCACACGCAAATACACACATGCACACTAAATTCCACATACATTCTCGATGAAATTCGCTGATAAAAAAAATATTTCTCGCGTCCTTTATAAATCCATTTTAAAGCCAATATCGTAGCAAATATATTTCCCGTCGATTTAGGATTGTTAAAGCCCAATGCAGATCGACATGCGATTGGACACGAGCCAAAGCAATAACTTACAAAGTGTTAATTACATTCCGAGCTCAACCCATATTCTTTCCATCGCAATTTCTCTTGTTACTTTCCAAAATCTCTCAATCAGTAGCGGAGAACACTAGAAAAGAACAATTGCAAGTGATAAAATACTTTTCGTCAGCGAAAGATGAAAAAATAATGAGACAAAAATCACCCGTTCGTCCTGTTCCTTATTTAGTCACATATACACCCACACACACACACACAACATGCCAACTCGCGAGCACGCGCGCGCATCTCAGCCTACATACTTTGTAGGTCATTACCGACACATTCGACTAGGTGGATAATGAATAACACGGCGAGCCGATCGATGAATGATATGCCTCCGACAGCCGAGGCAAGACTACCTCCTCGCACATTTGTTATACGATATACGACCGATCGATTGGTTAATTTCTTTTTCCTTTCTTTCTAGAAACTCGCAATGTCGTTTATAGACATCAACCCCTCACTCTTTAGTCTTTACTTAATTTGTTTCTTTTATTCTATTATTTGCATAGTTTCTTATCGTTATTCTTATCTATAGGGATATGTGCACATATAAATAAATAAATATATATATATATATATATATATATATATATAGTTTTAATTACGTTTATACACGTATTTACACTAATGATTCAGTTTTTTTATCTTATTGCATATAGAAGCGCATTTTTCTTTTCTCGTAAATGTTACACACATGATACATCATTTTATTATTTCGATAAGAATGTATTGCATAGGTAGTGAGAAAATTATACGCTTGCGTTTTTCAAACTATATAATTACTATTTTATTATATTTATTATATATGTATATTTATTTTTATTATACTCGTTTTTTATAATTACTATAGACATCAATGTATATGCATTCGACAGATATCTATAGGTTTAGCATTAATTTAGTTATTCAACGTAGGTTAAATATTACAGGACGCTAATTTATTTCATTTCACATTAGACTTCCAAAAATGAATTTAGCACCTAACAATTGGATTGACCATGTATAAATATAAAGCGATATGTAATTCATTTTCTTCAATAAATCTCGATCACGACGGCGCTTCGCGTCAGTGCCTTTTTTTCAAGTACTCCGGCAACAACTAATATATTAACGAGAAATTCGCGACATGAATAATAAATGAAAATTTCATAGGCTAACAAGTCAGCAGTTCTCTCCAAGAACTAACTTGTGAGATGTTAAAGTGGCAACTTGGCATGTCGAGCCATCGTCATCTCTTCATGCATATCAAATGCGTGTGTGCGCATGTGATGGAAATACGCGCGCACGTGCAGATGTCATCACATGTGTACATACGTGCAGAATTTCGTGGGCCTGAGAAAAAGGCAGTGACGCGTATATAGATGAAATAGTAAGCGTTTGCGAGTAAATGCATGGATTATTTGCTTTATTGAGCTATATATGAGACTGGCGAAAATTCGGCCTGCAAAGTAGTATTATTTTTTTTCTATTATCAATATATTATATATACAATGATTATGATTATTATTGATACTATATTACTAGATTACAACACGTTTTATTTATGAATTATATATGTACGTGGCTATGTGTTGCGTGGAGACAAGCAAGATTTATCACGCGGAAGTAGATCCGATTACAATTTTAACGAGCTGTAGTGCTGCTACAACCTCAAAAGGAAATCAGCTACTTTATATCATTGTTTGAAGTGCAAGAAAGTTTTGGAGAGAGCGAGTGCGCTTGCCTTCTTTATTTGCTGGGAAGAAAAGGATATGAAATATGTATATAGGTTAAGTAGGATAAGCCTTACACTACTTTTCGCTGCATGGAGGTATACTTGTCCGCGTGTTGAACAAGAACTGACAGCGTTAAAGTTTCTTGCCTTTTGTCCCTGTCTGGAATAATTTCGAAGCTAGGGTATTTTGTACTTTAACCGGTGATATTTTTCTTGATTTATCGAGCTTTCTCCACTTAACACAGTGCCATAACACTTTCAGAGCAAGTATATTTGAATTAGATTATGGCAGCAAGCGCTTGTTTTTTTTTATTCATTCAAGTACTGAATTTTTATAGAGATAAATGAGAAAGAGGGCGACTATGATACGTAAGAAGCTGAGAGCGCATGAGAAGCAAAGTAAGGTTATCGAATTAAATTAAACGGATGAATGTATATCTGTACGATGAAATATAGGAAGCCACCAGACCTCGAGCTGGAGGGACTATTCAAGCGGCACTTCACCACCGTGGAGTTCTTTCAGGGCACCATCATGAACCCAATCGATCTTCAACGGGTCAAGGTGAGTACAAATAATCTCCTTTCGCTAATCTCAATTGTATTCCGCTCTCTATCTTTACATTCACAATACGCCAAGTTTTATCTAATTAACAATTGCCGCCGAAGTAACCCGTTTTTGTTTTTCTTTTTCTTTTCTTTATGTTACAGCCGTCTTTCATAATTATTGACGTTCATAATTTACTTTTTCGTACAAATTATGCGAGTGTTACTATGTTTAACGGATTTGTGGGGTACGATGTCGAGGAATTTTGTCGCCTGTCTGCTCGTTGACAGATGTGCACAGTTATTGTTTATTTTTACATTAAACTTATTGTTGCATAATAATTAACCGAATCAGATCAATTTACTTGACTCACAGTGAAAGTTACGTATTGTATAAACAGATTACAAAAATAAGTGTAGTCAAAATTAATTTTTCTAACGTGTTTAACAGTAACTGTGACATCTTCTTTATCATTGTGTAACAGTTTTAAGCACAGTCTGAAAAGCATTTGTGATATGATGCGTGTGATAATTATTCATTGCTATTATTCAATTTGCAGTATCCTGCCAATTGTTGCAGTTTTAATACTGTACATATTTTTTGTTTTGCTCATTTTAGTTTTTTTATTTCAACTAAATCAATCAAGATAAATATCAAATCATATCAATCCTTAATCTTCCAAATTTAAATTCTAAGACTACTTTTTGATTTTGAATTGGAGTAAAATTTTTTTTATTAATCGATAATTCGCGTGACTATTCAAAACAAAAGAGCACTAATATCTAAGTAATTTTTAATTTTCAATACCGATTACTGCACTAGATCTCGTTGTAAGAATGCCTGAAGTCTTTGTTTCATATTTTCAAAGTAAAACAAGTACCGAGACTGTCGTAAAAATAATGCAAGATAAAAAGAGTAGATATTATAAAAAACTAGCTATTTCCAATGTCTCGTTCGCTATCGTACAAGTATCCTTAACACTCTAATCGGCAACGAAGTGAAAGCGTCGTTGTCGTCAACGAGACGACGACTGGCGTATATTTCAATTCTCAAGCCCTACATACACTCCTGACCCTGTCATCTTCCAGTCTGCCTTTAGATCTCTTTGTGTTTAGATCTCTCACCCCTCTCTCTCTCTCTCTTTATATATATATATATATATATATATAAAGATATAAAAATATCATATCCGTCATAATCGGTCCGCGTCCTCGTCTCAAAGACACTCTCGAGACTTTCTTCTTTTCCTTTGAGAACACTCTCTTTCTCGCCTCTTTATCCATATGCGCGATTTTTTTGCTCCTCAAGATCTATCGAACCGTTGATTATTATTAAAGGCGCAAAGTATATTGTTTTTTTCCTGTACTCTCTTTGGTTTTACCACGTCGAAATACGGCTTAACTTCATTCATCGTCACTCTATGGGTGTGTGTATGCTCGGCCCTTTGTTTTTGCAATATGTATCGCACGCTCGTGTACATACTCGAAGTTAATTGTGTACTTTACATTCACGGAAACAAAAGAGATGTCGTGTATATCTATTTAGTATTTAAGTTTGGATAGCAGAGTTTTCGATGTAAAAGTGATTGAACTATGAAAACTAAAGAAGCTACACTGACTTTGTCTCCGTGATGTAATGAATAAGAAGACACGAGTATCTGTACTCAATTCGTGAACAAAAAACACTCTCACCCTTACCGTCACATCCATGTCCACAATGCCACCGAGGCGTAATTTACAAAGTACATAATAGAGAAAGAAATCCGTGTGAAAATCACCACTATCAAGGCAAGAAAGCTATGGTTGCGGAGATAAAAAGAAGAAAGTACATCAGGTGGGTAAGTGTCACCTACGCCCAGCTACATACTCACAACGTGTTCGTTGCTGCTGGAGGTAATTTAAGTACCTAATAATTGGAAGCTTTAGAAAAAGATAGTAATTAGCGTAGATTCGCGATCTCTACAATAGTCATTTCCTTTTACTTTTTTTATTCTCTAATATATGTATACAACTCGAGAATACAAAGTTGAAGCTTATTTTACAGAATTACCTGTCTCTGTACCATTGAAAAGAAATACCGCTTGTTAGGAAATTATATTACCCATTCTTTTTCTCTTGCTTTAATCTTCCCTACTTCGGTCGGGACTTTTTTGTTTTTAGTGAGTCAAGATTTCTTCCTCACAAGTTACTTGTTTCTTACACTCTCTTGTTCAAGTTTATCCTCTCTGTTTGACAGTTTATATGTAGAAAATTGACATTTAACTCTTGCACTTAATTACAATTTTAGACACAGTAAAGTAAGATGTGAGACTTTATCTTACACTAAAATGAATGCTGTATGATAGCTTGGAAAAAGACAAATTTATTTTGTCTTTCGATTGATTAAGGTTCTTTTACTCAGTAAGGCAAGGGTTGAAGTGTTTCTTAATCTGTCTAGAGTAGTCCAGTCTTATGTGATAATTCGTCAACAAGCTTGTCTTTCATCAGGATTTGAGAGAATTGGATAGAACGAAGTTGGTGATGTATAGTATCGCTATATGTAGATATTTCATACGTTTTTTATTGTTTAAAAACTTAACGCATGCTGTAAATACTGAACAATATTTTAGAACATTTTTAGAATATGACAACTAAGCTATCGATGTAAATGCTACAGATTTACTATGCGCTATTAATTATTTTTTTAACGGAAGCTTATTAAACTGCGCCTTTGGTGTTTCAGCTTACTTTTTTCTGTATTATCGATAAGAACTAATGTTTCCATATGCCAAAGTTGCATGAGTACGTTTATACTAACACTGCCATTAATTTAAAAAAAATCGTTCAACGGGAAACAGTTTAGACTTTTTTGACCTCCATCATACAGCTTTAGAAAACTACAATAATCAAATGTTTCGTGATGAAGGTCTCTACTCAGATTCGCAAGTCTCTGTACAAAAATAAAATAAACGAGGTACCCTATATATCTTCATCTATCAGATCATAGTCCGCCCTTTTACACGTCCCCGATTTGATATCTTGCTCCATGTACATATAACACACAAAGCCTTTTCCATACGAAAAAGAAAGAATATGCAGGGCAGAGCAAAAAAACGACTTGACTTTCTAGGTTCACGAAGCTGACGCGTGCTTGGTCCTGGCCAACAAATATTGCCAGGATCCAGACGCTGAAGATGCGGCAAACATTATGCGCGTCATCTCTATCAAAAACTACTCGGATGATATACGTGTTATCATTCAGTTGATGCAATATCACAATAAGGTGAGATGCCACTTGTAATTTCAGTAATGAGAACATAATGATGTCGAAGTGACCTATTGGACAGTTTATCTTTTTGACGAGGGCAAAGGGTTTTTCATGAAAGAAGAACAATCGAATTTTCTATTGTGATTGTTTCTCGGCTAGAATTCGTCAACCATCTTTTTGAGCTTTTTATTAAAAAAAAGACATACGCTCTTATTGCACATAAATTACAGCTATGTGTATAATAAAAAGCTTGTAAAGACCGACAGAATCTAGTAGATAAAACATTGCAGGAGAAAAGTTGCTTGTTTTTCTTTTAGCTGAAAAGTCTTGTTCTCGTCAGATTGGTAGATCATACAATCGACCACTTCAACATTTACAACTGAGTGTGATACCCATATCAACGAGAATGTAACCATTTCCAGGATGTAATATATATTGAATCTGTATAAATTTGATGGTAATTATTAGTTTACAAGGCGATTAATATTTTACTAAAGTTGTTCATCGATTACAGGCCTATTTATTAAACATTCCATCGTGGGACTGGAAGCAGGGTGATGACGTAATTTGCCTAGCGGAATTAAAGCTTGGCTTCATCGCCCAGTCCTGCTTGGCGCCAGGATTCAGTACGATGATGGCCAATCTCTTCGCTATGAGATCCTTCAAGACGGTCAGTAAATCTCGTTCGCTGATTTGATAGCGTCTATATCATTATCTCTTGTAACGTTATGATGAACTATGCATGTGTCTACTTCCTTTATTTTTACATTCTTTTTGGCCAATATCACATTGGCATTAAAGTTCACAGTGATGATTCACATTATTATTATACGTTAGGCTTACTTTTTCAGAATTCCATACCTGGATCATACATTAACGTACACTATTTTGTCGTATTTTTTTCTACAGTTTTTAATTGTTGGTTTTACACGTTTTTTAATAGCAACTTTTGCAGTTATAAATTATAGGGGAAAAATATTTTGTTCTCAAAGAAAGAGAAATACTTTTTTTTAATGAAAAAGTTTCTTTGAGAATAAAAGGGGACGAAAAGATAAAGATAATTAAGAGGCACAAGTCAGTGTGGATGCCGCCCACCTTCCGAGTCAATACATGCATATGCGCGATCGTCAAATATTGTGTAAAATAGTTGTTTAATTGGTATGAGTCGCCCGTAAATGCAGGCTTGGCAGAATGACTACCTGCGCGGCACCGGAATGGAGATGTACACGGAGACACTGAGCCCTACCTTCATCGGAATGCCTTTTGCCAAAGCCACTGAGTAAGTTGGCCATACACCATTCCAAAGCAAAAGTAATAAGCAAAGCTAAGAAACTTCATTCTTATCTAAACGTATTCTCAAGTAAACGTTTCAAAGACAAAAAATATCTCATAGTGATTAACAATTTTGCAAAACAAACAAAAAAAAGCAAATAATAATCGTGCCTTGCTAAATAACTAACCAATGATATCTACTAACCGATTTAAGAGACTCGACTGCAGTAATACAGAGCTCGCTTTTACTAATTTTCTTTTTTATTTATTTTTAAGAATGACTGTTGCTTTTTTTGTGAGAAATGTTGACAAGAGCAAGCTTTCGAAAATAATTTTTCACTTACATGCGAGAGATATAATGATATTTTCGCTTATCCTGTGTGACGTTGTGCATCACTGACATATAAATACAGAAAATCTCGGTACAATGAATAAGAGGACGCCTTCAACGCGTGTGAGGTGAACAGCAGCAGTGCAGCAACATTGACAAAAAAAGCTTTTCTCATCTTCGCGAGTGTTTGCACTGTAAGTGCGCAGTGTCCGGTTAAAGATTATGAGTGACGCGACTTTTGTAAAGGGTCAGTCTCTTGAATCGGATGAAAAGGGATATATGAAGCTTCCGCCTTTCTTGCTAATGTCTCTTTATCTCTCTTTTAAATATACCTCACTGAGCTCCACACATATTTTTTATAGCTATTTCCGTATCATTACTCTTTTCTCAGTGTCCTTAATTGTCTATCTCTATTTATCAACTTACGTGTATGATACATACCTATACACATATATACACACATACATATATAAATGTATGTGTGTATGTATGTATGTATGTATTCAACGTGTCAACAATGTATAAAATTTATATTTATTTGCGGAAATAAGATATGACAATTGTTTATGTGCCAGCTATATAACACCTCATCGATGTGATTACCACTCTCATCAGCTTCAGTCTCGTCGTGCTCTATTTCACTTTTTTCTGATACTTTGACAGTGTCAATTATTTTATTTTTTTTATTTTTTTACCTTTACTTGCTAATTATAGTTATATAAATAGAAATTTATATAACAGTGATGATCAATAACCGTCGAATTAACCGCTGCTGTCTCTGTGAAGATCACTCAGTGTCAATCATTACTGTGAGCACGTTTTCTGGTGGCCAAAATCGAAAAAATTTTCGTTCTAATTTTTTTCCTCTTTCTCTCCATTCTTATTTCAGATAATAAGCTAATAAAAACTATATATATCTGTTATTTTTTAGAGGCTTAAAAAATGTTATCTTAACATAAACTTTGATGAATTAATTGATTGTCTATAAGGCTGATGAAAAAAATTAGAATTCACATTAAACACGCTCACTAAATATTTCAAAATAGCACACGTATCATTTTAACTGTTACATCAGCAAATATGCGTTAATTTTATTGCAAGATCTGCTGATTTTAGGTCTGATGCTTTTGAACGAATAGGTTATAACTTTCAGACTATAAATGAGGAAAATTTTATTATAGTTTTTAATTAATGTATACAAATATTCAATCAGACAGTAAGAAGATAAAATCTACTAAAAATAACAAGTCGAAGCTATGAACTATCCTTGAAGTGTATGTTTCGAGACCCAATTCCAGCTTAATCAGTTTCCCCCATCATTCTCTATCCGTTTAACGGCTCAAAGGTGGGTATGCACGTAGCGGGGCAACTTTCGAATTTCGAGGCAAATGAAATCGTATTATCGACGAGAGCGCATAGTGGCTTCAGTTATTGAAAGACTAATCTCTGCGAGACGAATTTTGACAAAAGGAAAGAAAAACATAGCGTCCGTTTTGTGTTTAATTTTTTATTTTTATGTTTTCACATTTGGAAGGATCATAATTTACTTTCCAGATGGGGCGCCCAGCTGCTCGACAAAGGGATGACCGATTTTTTTTTCTGATGTATTTTAAAAATACGTGTAAAAGATATTTTCCAACATATTTTTATTTTATATCAGTAGGTATGTAGATTTTCAAGTTTGTACGTGTCAGCACAGTTTCTCTATCCAATTGAGAGGTTCTTTACTCTTTTTAAATAATTGAAGCACATGTGAAGACACCTACAAACTACTGAAAAATACAATTTTTGTAGTTTCGTATTTTGTAGCGAGTAGACCATTATTTTTCAAAAATGTCACATAAAAAGAAGATATTTTTCAGAATTGTATTTTTTTTTCAAAATTTTTTACGGTTGCAATATTTTGATGTAAAAAAAAGAAACACACGACAACTATTTTTCACATATCCCATCTACGAGAAGAGGCACTTCAACACACTTGTTGAATAATATTTTTGTCAAAGCACTACATTTTTCTCTCGATGTAAATCGACAACATGTTTTTACATTCTTAATAATGAAGTTGTGAGTCAGCCTCTCGTTTCTTCTCGTGACTGGGAAAAAAGACGAAATTGGGTGGTATTTTCATTGTGTTATGTTTCTTTTTTTTTCTCTTGATCTCTCTTAAAATGTGTCGTACGTTGGTGATGACGTGGAGACCATGGTTGGTTGGTGTTTCAGTCGCCGGACACTCAGGCGTGGCAGAACGATTACCTGCAGGGCACGGGCTGCGAGATGTACACGGAAACCCTGTCCCCGTCCTTTACCGGGATGACATTTCCCCAAGCTAGCGAGTAAGTTGCTCGCTGCCCATACCGGCTGCCACACATGCAAACTTTACTCTACTTTTCTCTCTCTGTCTTCCCTCCTTCCCCAATCGTTCTTCTTTCTGTCACTTTTCTTTGTCAGTCTGTTTATACGTGAGTGAATTGTTATTTGCTAAAATAGCAAATTATAGTATTATTCTTTTTTAGTTTTGAATTTTCTTTTTCTTTTTTCTTTGTTTTTTACTGGAATGCTAAGCTTTTTTGCTACTTGGGTATTTTTTTAGTAGTTTTTAACGATTAACGATTCATTCGTTGAGTGCGTTTAGCTCTTTGTCAAGACTTCAATTCCTGTTTTATTTCTCTCCCTCTTCTCATTTCTTCCGACAACTCTATTTTGACACATTTTGTGTCATCAAACAATATGACACACAACATTGTATATCTTTCTATCTTTCTTCCGTTTTGTTTATTGTCTATTTTTGTTGTTGTTTGTCTGTTGTACGTGTAACCCCTCGTTTTTTTACGGTCTGCTGACTGTTCAGTACCATGTAGAGATAATCCTGTCCTCGTCCAATAGCATATTTTTTTCTTCTTCTTTTCATTTAGTGTAGAGAAAATCTATTTTGTTTTGTTTTCTGTTTTTTTTTTTTTATTTTTCAACGTTCGTATACGAATTTATATTTCCTAATATTTTTTTAGAATGAATTTGGCCTGTTAGCGTATACGAGTGTTATATCATAGTTTTTGCACATATTTACGAGATTTATATCTTTTATCAAGCACATTATTTCCCGTTCACAAACCCTAGAAAATGATGTACACAATTTACGATAAACCAATGTGAATAACTGAATTTTCTTATAACATTCAATAGAACTGTGATACTTTCACTTTTCTAGTATTTCGAACATATATGATCATTCGAAATAATACTTCTTTTTTTCAAAGCTTATGTAACTTATCAAGAATTAATACGTTTGAATAAAAGGTAGGACTGAAATGAGCACCGTTTGTCTTACCGTATCCGTACCTGTTCTACTGGAACTATCAGGGTGGCGATTGAACGAGCGAAAGTCAATGGAAACTGCGGATCGAGCGCACACAGACAAAAACGAGCATGCACGGCTCGTATATATAGTCAAAGTGCAGCATCGAGTTATCTGCGCGCGCTTACACACATAGTTCGAAGTCCGGCCATTCTGCGCGCCGGCGCAGTTTCTAAATTGTGAACTAGTTTTGAATGGCTTTGTTGTTCGTGCGTGTTCGGCTAAAAGGCAAACGGAGCTTCGTGAGTTATTCGTAAATTTTAGGTTACTTCATTACCAAGAACATTATGTAATATGTAAGAAATTATCTCGTTATTTATAATACGGGCTATCTTAAAATAATTCGTAAATAGTGAAATTTCATTATCAAAATATTTTCACTTATTTTTGATAATTTTTTTTCTTGCACTCTCCAAGCACATTTTTACTATCTTTCAAACAAACGTTTTTGAAAAGTTTTTTTAGATTTTTGTAGTTATGTCTCTTTATTATATATTTTCACAAATCTACCGTTTGCGTGTGTGGGAGTTCCTTAAGTTTTAGAAGTCCTTCTATTTGAATTTTGTTTTATATGCTCTGTTATATAACTTACTCTCTTCAGACATAAATATCTTCACTTCCTATTAGAGGAAGCGTACCTACTTATGATTGTACTATTTACAATATAATCTCAACAATACTTACGAAAATATGTTATATTACTTTTGTAGTAGATAATTTTGTAAAATATACCGATGTATATTCGAAAACCTATACTACCTCATTTTCAGCGTGTATGTACTAGTTTTTCATATTTTTGTAGCTTAGAACAAAATACAAAAAAAGCTGTAATCATTAGAGACTGAGATCTTGCATAAATATTTGCATGCGTGTGTTCATTTGTGAGTCTGCATTAATGTACTAATACATGTTTTTCATCGCTTTTCAGCATCAATATTACAATAAAGTATTAAAATTAATAATAATATGTTTTCATAATTCAGTTTGGTTGAATATTATTATTACTATTACTATTATTATTATTAAAGTTTCATTGTGCGATTGGTGCTGAAAAAAATTTACATTTAATATTTATATGAAGCTTTATTTATTTCACCTCATTTTTAAGCTATTATATATATTACCAATCTCTTTTCTGATAACTTCACCCAATTTGATTTTTAGTCAGAAGTACATTAAACAATTCAATATTATAGTTTTGTTTATTCAATAAACCAATGCTATTTATTATTATTTCCATTAGATATTACATGTTTTTTTTTATTTGATTTTTTATGTTAAGAACTTGCAATAATTTTTATCATAATTACATAATGAATGTTTATTAAATTAATGCACTACTGACTAGCATTAGTTTTTTTAATGTATGATTGTTTCCTGTATACTTCTTCACATAACTATCCACTAGCAATTTCACAGGAATTAACGGTAAAATAATTTTGTACTTTATACAGAGTAATATTTATTAAAAAACGATCTTTATTTTAGAAATATTAAATTTACATGAAAAGAAAATAAGATTTATTATACTGGGGATGCAAATTTTTATCGTACTATATTATTAATTGAAACCCCAATAATCAAATATCGAATCTGATTTTCTTGCTTAAACTTGCATATTCACACCTGGAAATAAACAATCAAACGTATTTCTACAAAATTTACACTAAAAATGAATCGATGGTCAATGCCATTAGCAAAGATATCACGTTTTGGTTTCGCCCTAGGTTGTGCTTCACGAAACTTAAGCTGTTGCTCTTGGCGATCGAAATCAAAGGAGAAGCAGCGAGCGACAGTAAGATTTCGATAAATCCACGGGGTGCCAAGATCGCTGCTAACACACAGGGATTTTTTATTGCTCAATCGGCCGACGAAGTCAAGCGGTATGTTAACGCGATTTATGGTGTATTGGATAATTGGGCATTTTTATTAGTAATTTTCGTAATTCCATAAAAATGACTAGTTTTATTCATGAAATAATAAATATTTCTTTCAATTCAGTGCGTGGTTTTACTGCAAAGCCTGTCACGAAGACATCAAGGACGAGACTTTAATCAAGAAATGCAAATGCAAAAACTGTAAGTCCTTCCAACTATATCAACTAAAAAGAGATGATTAAAAAAAGATGATCCGTTTGGTCATGTCTCTGCCATAACTAATAATCAATTTGATTTAAGTTGTCCCTGATCCCCATTAAATTTAGCTCGAGTACGACGCGTCAATAAATTAAGTTAACAAGCGATAGTTAAAAAGCCATATGTTCATTTTTCAAAATTATTATTTTAAACTCTCAAAAAATTTAATTTATTTCATACGACAAAACGAGCAAAGAAAATTATAAGTTCAGTGAGCACATGGCTTGTAATCTAACATAGAAAAAAGTACAACTAACAAGAGTTAATTAGTAATTTAGAAAAAATAATCGAATGATTAAATAAAGCTTAGTCCTATCTAGTTATGTTGAACCCTGATTTGTCCAATTGAGAGCACAAATCACAATCAAATAAAGTAGACTTATACCCCGTGAAAAAAGCAAACTAAATTGCAACGAATGATTAAAACTGATATGGTTGTGACAATATTGTTGTGATATATTGATCTAGTGGGGCAGCAGCAGCGCTCCTGGGGCCGGGACCTAGGTAACGTCTCTCACTCGCTCGCTTGAACTCTTTTTCTTTTATATTCTTCTCACTTTTTTCTCTATCTTTCTATCTATCTTTCTCTATTTCTCTATTTCTCTTTCTCCTGTTTCGCCGTCTATGAAAACTTTTAACTAGGTCAAAAAACTTTTTTAACTTTCATCTCTCACCAATTTATATGCCGTTTAGTTTTCATTTTATTGTTGTTATTCTGATGGTCCATTTACTTTCAGTTAGATTCTCCTTTATTTTTCGCTCGCCCTTTCTTACTTGTGGACCCACATTGAAATTTTATTCTCAGTAGGCTGCTATCAACGCCACTAACCATTTGTCTGGATGAATTGCTGTTTTACCTTTGTTTTTCCTTTTCTCATCAGAATCCTCGCTCTGTCGCTTTACTTACTTCCATCTATATTTTACGTATTCAAGACACCATTTGAAGTTCGCAATCGTTTTTGCTCATATCACCTTCTATGAGAGTTTTTTTTTGTATCTATTTTGATATGTATATTGATTAATCATTTTGCATTCGTCGTGGCAATGATTATCATGATTTTAATTGCCATGATGCTAGTTATGAAGCGCTCTGCATTATTCAATCTTTAATTCTAATACTTCTACTTTTATTTTTATTCTTTTCTTTCTATTTCCGGCAATTACTCAGATTAGAATTAAAAAATCACTGGAATGCTACTCCAATGACGTTATTTATATTTAAAAGAGTGTTATTAGCTATAGTTATGATGCGATGTTTCGCGAAAGCAAATACTTTAGTTATTTGCTTTCACGAATTGCCAAGTTAAATATGCGGCACTTTGAGAGATCACGTTTCACTGGCCCTGGAATCCTGAAATGTTCCTAAAATGTTTTGAATATTTTCCAAGATCTTTTTTCAAATTCAGTAGATTCTTTTGGTTTTACACCAAGAAATGGATTGACGTAACTTTAGTATTTTCTAAATATATCTATTCCCTTGAAAAATATTCAAATATTTTATTAAAAACCTAGAGATTTCAGTCAGCTGGCGCATGCCCACCTGACCAATGTTCTATTTTATTTTTTATTTTGTTCGTTCTTTGATACCAAAAGACATGACTTTACCGATTTAATTTGCACTCTAGTGATTCACTATCTCTTCTCTTTCCCTTATGTTGCCGCTCTTTGTGCGTCTTTCTATCGTCGCATAGCATGCATGACATAGTTATGGGTTTTTGTGACCGATATTTTTTTCTCATTGCCACCGAATCGGCTTCAGTGGCGCATTTAATTTCGGTACGTGGCATCGATTATCGATTAAGTAATTTTCGGATCAGTATAAAAAAACGATTATTCTTTTCATGTTATTCTTCGTTTTTCTAAATATATGTTGAAGTTTCTTACTTTCCAAATTGACAAGACGGTTAAAATTTTTACAATGATTTATGTTTGTATTTTTCAACTTTCTGTTAACGATGAATATTTTCATCACAACTATTTGAAACCATATATTTTCTGCGTTACGTTATTTCTTTTCATTTTCTTCCAGTCTATTCGACTAATATTCTCCAACTTGGACATTGTCCGATAAGCGCCCATTTCGCGGCTCACTTACCTCAAACTACTTTAAGAATTCTTCTCTATTCTTTTTTTAAGATCTATTTCCTGTTCAAAGAGTAATGTTATAAACGTTTCAATATTTATAAGTAAGTACGTGTAGAATAAATTCCTTGTTTACAAAACGTTAACGTTTACGTAAACGTTAGGTTTTTAGTAGGTTTCCAAAATGTTACTACGGCCATGGAATGGACACTTTCTAATTGAATAGAAGGCTATATTACTTCACGTATGAACGAATATAGTTAGCAATATTGTAGGAGAAATCTATAATAGAAACTACAGAATGTAAAGTCTATCTAATCACTGGGCTAAAGAATCTGCGTAAAAATGAGAAAATATTTCAAATAATACGCACATATTTTGTGTTACACGTAACAAACATACAACTCACTGAACTCACTGACATAAACCCTGGGCAAGCAAAATGTATTATAATTTTTTGAGACACTTTTGATAATTATACAGTATACTGAGCACTGAAATTATTTTATCAAATTAATTTTTGCAGCAAATTGAAAAAAAGCTTTGATTGAAAAACTCATGGACTTTTCTTTTCATACACTTATCAGTGCTCAGTTAGAATGTTTTTCAGTAATATTATTATTTTCAGATAACGAAAACAATACGAAAGGTTGATACAAATATTTCAATATTGAATGAACAAAAAATTTTAGTGAAAAAATCTTCATTCAGTCATTCATAAAATAATGTTTTTACACAAGTTTCTTAATATCGTCCTTTCATAGAAATATTTAACGATGAAAAGTGCTTCTGGCGGTTTGCTTATGGGAGTAATGTGCACTGACGCGACAGCAATAACAGCGACAACAGCGACAATGATGAAGATATCGATATGCGTTTGACGTGACTATAATCTATATATTTTGCCATCGAGGAGTAATACTAATCAAAGTCCACGTTATATTTTAACTTTAACTCTCCAAATTTGTATGCTGCATGCAGTTAATTACTACGTTTTTCCAATACCTCTCAAATTGATTGACCTCTTCCTCGGTGTTTATGCTTAGAATGGGAATACGAAAGTGTCTACGGCTAACAGGAATAATGCACAAGGAACCAGCAAATAACAGCGAAAGCTCCCCTTTAACTTTGACGACAATATCAGTGTATAATAGACTAACCTCTCTTTCATATCCTTATCTCTCTTCCTTCCATTCTATTACCTTATACCAACGACTGCATCTTCGGGACAATATTGTAATTGTTTAGACTTTTTTTTCTTTTAATCTAAGACTTTTGTGGTATGTGAATAGATAATATTTATTTGATCTAAAATTGGAAGTATATATGAAATTTCAATTTTGTAAAAGTGACTCAAAAACACGTTCAGAAAATGGAAAATAATTTGGAAAAAAGAATTTAAATTTATTATATATGAAATTATATTGAAATTACTTTTTTACATTGAATTAAAACCATTGTTCTGCTATTATTAATTACCATTAAAAGATTTTTGTTAAAAGTTATACATAAATCTAGCATAAATGAAAAATGTGTATAAACAAACGGAAAATGTTTAAAATATTTCTATAAAGAAATTCAGCCAAACAATGAATTGTTACTATTGATTTGAGGTGTACTCAGGTCATCTGATAATACCTTTATCCCTATATAACGATGTGATTGGGTCATAGCAAAGGGCACATACCTCAACGTTGGATTTTTGCAGATGTGGGGATGATGATGATGCAAGCTGGTATGGTGAAGACAAACGTCTTCCATCAATATTACGACGGTACGACCATTTTCCGTTCTCTGCTTTAACACACAGTTTATCCACTTTGTCTTCAATATCTTATCGAATCCTTTCCTTTGTTATATAAGCTGAATTTACATAAACAGATTGCTTTTCGATTATGTAACATATTACACATTCAATTAACAGTTCAGTTTATGAAGTGAATGTAAATCAGCCTGTGTATAAATTTTTTTCCTATTTTCTCTTTGGAGGAGTTCTCGAGACAGAAGCCAGAAAGAGTGAATGTAAGATTTTCTTTGATTGTCACTTAACGGTGACTTGCAAAAGATCAGCCAAAATGTAACAGTGAACTCAAAGGATACTTCCTTCAAAAATATTGTATCTTTACACCACTTCGCGGACTCCTCTTCACAATTGTCCTCATGCAAAAATTGTATTCAAAACAACTTCCGAAATCCTTTTGATCCCAATGTGAACACAAATGTTATACCGTTTAAAAGAGCTTTTTCGTTGGAGCTGTAAACCATTGAAAGCTTTTGGCTATCGCCACGATGCAGCATTAACGTCGCTATTATTCGTTCGCGGAATCAATGTATTTTTGTTAATGTATATTACCATTCAAGCAAGCCAAAGATACTTTTTAATCTTAAAAATTGGCATTGTTTTTTATTATACGTTTACACTATTCTTTCTTATTTTTAATTTCACGTGACAGAGGAAATAACAGAATTACATGAGAACAATACGTAGCGCAACAGCTTTGCAATACTGGAAGAGTTCCATCATATTATTGTTCACGCACGTTATATAATGTTACCGTGTTTCAGTTAATGTTTTTGTATTTTCTTTCGTATTCGTAATAAATTGATATATTTATATATTTGTTTTTTTGTTCATTGGAAGTACTATTATTCATTGTTTTATTTAAGTGGTAATTATATGTTGATATTGAATTTTTAGTTGATACATTTCAAATGTGGCTTTTTGATGGACAAAATTTACACGCATATAATATTTAAATACATTAGTGATGTAGTTATTCCGTTAAACATACGTTGAAAATACAAATCAGTACAAGATTCATATTGTCTACTCTGTAGAAGTTAAAAATTGTGCAAGAGAAATGAAAACGCGTTCATGCTGATGTTAATGCGCATTGATGCAATAATAAACGAATAATCTCTAACTATTGTTACTCTGTTTCAGCAGCAAAATCCGACCTTTCTTTTTTTTATTTTAATGAGTTCGCTAAACTTTATTTCTTATCACTGAAAAAAGAAAGTCGATGATCAAACTCACGTTTTAAAAGGTCAGTTTTTGTAATGAAGTTAATGCGCAAACGAACGAATATTTCGTCAAAATGAAATACATCTGGAAAACAAAAAACGAAGCGCGAGTCCCTAGATGATTCCTGGCGACTCGTTGGCGAATTTGCAGGTCGGAATTTTGGCCAATCTATCTCTCTGGCTAAAATTGCGATCTCTACTGTATATGTATGTACGCACACTATAGATCACAATATATGTGTCTGTATGTGTGTATGTTGTCTCTGGAAAATCGCTTGTCCCTGCCGATCAATCCGATTAATCTCAACTTGATTTATTAGACAAATCTAAAGAGTCATCTGCTCGCGTTGATCGGCAAATTGTACTTCAATTGATGCCCAGGGTTTACTTCCATTTTCAACGTCCTTCCATCATCGATAATTTTATCGTCGTTTTTTTTATATGTGTAATGCGAAGGAAAAAAAGTAACCCGTAAAAAATACTTTGATTTACTGCAAACGTTAATTGAATGAGAGTTCATTACGAGCTTGCTGCTCTAGTCAAATTAGTCGAGCAAAGTCTTTGGTAATCAGGGTATTTTTTCGCGTAACCTGCTAAACTAGAGGCATAGACACAGACCAAAGCATTTCACCTAGATCAATGCATATACTTCATTTAAGGCAACTAATCATTAGTGACTAGGCCAAAACCGTCATCACGTATACTCACATCGAATAAATCGTCTTCTTTTCGGATTTGTACATCCTATTAGCATCTATTTCATATATGAGAAGACACTTGTACGTCACAAATTACCCACATTTGTAGGTTAACCTAATTCCATATTCATCTTTGTACCAGTATTGGATTCTACAAGAGTATTTTTTAAAAGAAATGTAAGCTCATATCAATTCTTATATTTTATTAGAATTAATGTAATTTTGTGTCAGTGTTGATTATATTGATGGAGTTTCTCCGATTTTTCTTGTAAACCATCTCGATGACTGTAGTCACCTCAAAGCTCCAATTCTAAATGAGTTATATTTACTAAATCGTTCAGATTGCAATGCGATTGGCCTCTTATATAAAGTGTAGGCTACAAAGTTAAACTTGAAAGTAGGCTCAACTTGAACGACATGCATTCTCTAATGCAATTCTTGTTAATAGATTAGATAATGGGAAAAATAATAGTACAATTAACTGCAATAAAAGAATTTATGGTGCTTACAAGAAGTGAGTTATCGAACTGATAATGTAGCTGGAAGACGCGTCGATATAGAGGTCAGAATAATGATATATAGGCTTTAAACAGATAACAATAAAATCAGAGCTACCCTGAAAAATCCCCCTGAATTTTTTGCTTAATGACCCTTACATCTGGGTCGATTTGTTGAAATAAATGTGAAGAACTAATAGCTCTGATATTCTTTCTTCTCTCCCTGTCTGTCGGGCAGTGGCCACATTCCGGAAAGGCGTGCGGGCTGTTCAAATGGTCGGAAGAGCAAGTACGTATCCCCCGTCGAGAAATAGAATTGTCTCTCATCTATGATAATGTTAATATTATACCATTTGACCATGCTCATCTATAACTGTCTCTCATTATCCTGATCCACTTACATATAAGCACATACATAATAGCGCCCATAGAATGGTCTTCGATTATAATGATAAACCGCTGAAAATACATTTATTTGTGCCGGATACATATTGTAAATATTGCTTTTTAGATTGACGCGCTTTTAACGTTCACATTTGGTCTTTCAATTGTCAATACAACGATTATGTCTTATTAGATTAATTTATTTTCAGTAGATAGATATATTGATTTTCGATTTCTATACTCGCACATTAATTACACAGAAAATTGATGTTCATCCTAAATGTAAATATAGAAAAAAGAGCACGCTCAAATGATTTGTTATTAGCAACAGTGAAGCTATATCAGATTATGTCTAGGCACTCTGATAAACGCAGTGCAATAAATTGTTGTATAGTCATTGGTTTTATCTAAATCTGGGGAAAAAAATTAATCAGACGTTTAAACGATACAAAATCTAGATTTAATCGAGCGAGAACTTAAGTGCGATGATCCGAATTTTTTCAGAGACTAAAACGCGAAATCGAAAAGTCATAAAAAAAGAAATCTAGAGTAAGAAGGGATGAAAGGGCTTTTTGCTCGCGAGGGTTAACCAAAGTTTTCGATCGAAGACCAAATTTACCCACAAGCGAGTACGTAAATAGACTACTCTCTATTCATTAATTCATCCCTCTCTTTTTATCTCTCACGTGCTCGCTATCCATAGAATAACCCACATTATACCCCTATCATTATCTTAATTTTTAATTAAATTATATGATTAATATTACAGTAATTGATGTCCATCGAAGACAAAGCAGATGTATGTCACCACATTTGACTTGTAATGAATGGAATATGTTTGTCGTATTTCCATTGGTTATTGTTACCATTGTCCTGTGGAATAAATGGTCAATCTGGAACTTTTACAGCATCTGCTTTTTCTGGAATGATATTCTTGTCAGATTATAGTTACAGTGAAAATATTTTTTCTGATGAATTATTCTTTAAGAAAATTTAAAAAAACTTTTGTATGTTTTTGTCTCACTCACTTACTTTTTCTCACGTTATCCACTGTAACTTTAATCTAGCTATGCGTATATACTTTTTTCATACACCCACACTTCAAAATCACCTTATGTTTCATTAATTTCAATAATATATCATGTTCATGCGGAAAAATCAATACTAAAACAAATCACTCAATATAGGTATTGAAAAGGCGCAACATACAAAAGTGATATGTCTTCCAAATTTTATTATTGTCAGTGCATATCGAATTCATAATCTATCATAACTGATCATGATAGTTTGATTTGCACTGATGAAAAAATAATTTCATTCACAAACTCTAATTGGATATCCGAAGTAGTTTCTATATACCTAATATACATTAGTGTTTTGAAAGACTTCCATTGATGTGATGTTTTCCTGGTTACTTGCAACCTACGATTTATATCAGTCATTTTGTATACCTATATATCGATGTCGTAAGGAATGTAGCTTTTATATACTATATATATTTGGAAGTCTGTAAGTGTCTTAAGTGGTAAATGTTGGTAATTCGTACCCAAATATTAATGCAGTTGATAATACTGAGATGTTGTTAATGGATATAAAGTTTCTTATTGATATAAGTGTATGCGTGTATTGTTTACTGAAACTTGCATTGATGTTGATATTTATTTTTAAATATTTTTGTTAATTGAAAAATTGTTTGAATATACATTATAATGAGTGTATACTTAAAATACCAGATGTGGTAAATGTACTTGCATAGAATAGTATCCGAAGAATATAAATATTCATAACTCTTATATGTAATTCTGTATTAGTTATTATATAGAAACCATGTCGTATTCGGTAGAAATAATTTTACTCGTAAATATTTTCGCGTTGAAATACAAAAAATTAAAAAATAATACCAACTAATAATAAACTTAGGCCACTATCCCTGTGTATATAATTTGAACAAGTACTGGCGAAATCCATTAACCTAATTATTTATATTTAAAGCGGTTCATTTAATGTCTCTTTAATTTAACTATACATCAGTATTCGCTGAAAACGAAAAAATCATTGCCCCGTAAATACAACGCAAAGTGCACGTGTGCACTTATATATAATTATATTACTTGAGTTCTGCAAGTATTAGAAGGGCTAGTCTTCACAACAGAAAAGGTATAACAATTGCAGCATCTCATCCCATAAACCACATAAATATAATAATACACGAGAACACGTTCATGAATACGCATTTGTATATCACCGATATATACGTATACAAGATAGGGGGTATCGCTAATGAACCCATGACATTACCTTTTTGACATACAAATGTACACGCAAAACGGTCATATCACATACAAAACATGTGCGTGTGTGTGTATACACATACACATACACACACACACACCATAAAGCTATCTAAACAACGTCGAAAAGTGTATTTATGAGGTCATTTACTAAAATCATCTTTCTCTATGTGTCTGTGTATCTGTCTATCTCACTCTTCTCTATTTGCTCTCCTCCGACTCACCTTCACACACGATCTATCAGGTGACGACTTCTCGTTTCCAAGTAAGTCAGCAACACAACCCTCTCTCTTTGCAGGATATGTACTATGTATTTATTAAAAGTACTTTTGTATATATTATGTTATGTAACTATATATATACACACGACGAATTATATCTACGTATATGTACACAAACCTATATAATGTTTCAAACGCTGGCGTATTACTCGAAATACTGTAGGCTAACTTAACCATATTATACAAGCAGTCTTCATATTTTATTAACATCAGATGCGAATATATATATATATATATATATATATATATATATATATATATATATATATATATATATATATATATATACACACACATATACATTAGATAAAATTATAATATATATTGTAATATATTCGATATAACAATATATATATATAATTTTCGGCGTCTTGCATAGGCTGTTACATTGATGAATTAGGTGTTTCGTAGGGGTATATACTATCATCTACCGAAAGTATTTTGACATACTGTTTTCAACTGCTGCTTTGTGTTTTCGTAAAAAATATTATAAACAACACCGTAGGCAACGACTTTATCGTCTTATATTTCGTTAAAAAGCGCTTTCTTGTACTTATCACATGACTTATATTGTAGCTTCGTTTTCGTATACCGTGCATAAATTTATTATATTATTGAATTCTTTGTTGTTTATTTTTGTTCACTTTTCGTTCATACCTCTATTATTATTTCTGAGCTTCTTTAGTCAGTTGAGAGAGTTTGTACGCAATCACCATTGTTATCATTATACTTTTATTATAAATTATTTTTTTCTTGCTTTCACTTTATTGATATCAATAACTGATCTTTCCAGAGAGGTTTTAGTTTTTTATATTTTTTTAAAAAAAATCTATATTTATCGCGAAAGCTTCATTGGTGTGTGCACATTACTGCAAATATATGATACGACGAACTCGAGACAAGAGAGCTTTCCACTTAGAATTTATATTCGGTGCAATATGATAAACTGTCTGTTCTCGCGCGGCTTGGACGATCGAGACACGCAACCGCAGAACTTCTATTTTTCTCTGCCTCTCTCTTTCTCTCTCTCGCTTTCTTCTATATGTATATATTTCTACGTTAAAGGACTTATCGATGCGATAATACCGCGCAATTTCTTACTTCTAACTCTATGTGCTATCGTATCTTGCTTATACTATGCTGCTTTACCTATCTTCACTATCTATATACTTTCCGCACTCTATATTTTGTTTCATCTCCCTACCTGCCCCAAAAAAGTTTCAGCAAGTTGTATTGGTGTCGCGCCACAAATAGAGAGAAAAACATTTTCAGCTTATGTACGGCATGAAATTTTTTGCGTCTCGATTGTTTCTTTTCCTTTCTTACTATCGCTGCCTCAATCATCACCAGCGACTTGTATCAGAATGCAGTAGACAATCAGAATAAGTATATATCACGCGCACTCACTGACGCGCAAGTCGCCATGCAAAGTACACCGTATTTTATCTTATGTAGCTGCTAATGAAAGCATCCCTTCCCATCACGTTCTGTAACCGAAATAGGATCGCCAATTGGTAAGCGAACAAGCGAAAATTGAAAGCGATAATTGGGAGCCGCACGCAAAAAAACTTCAACGTTATCGATTAACTGTGTTTCTATGTGTGTGCGATTTCAATTTTCGCGCAATTCGATCTATTCGCCAATCGCCTCAATTTATGCACGTTGCATGCTCACGCAGAGTACACGGCTGCGACTGTACGGGTTACAAAGGGAGTAAAAGACTTGTTCGACGCTGTACCCGCGGCAAATATTTGCTGCAAACGAAAACAGTTAATTGTTTTGGTAAAGCTCGAGCCAAGTGGTGGAACTTGCATCAAGGATGCGCAGTGTGCTCTGTTATATTTCATATTATATTGTTGTTATTTATGTAATTATAGTTTAATGTTTAGATCGTTATATGATCTCATTATATTACTAGTTATTGAATCAAATCAAGCCCTTTTGAATGGTATTCCTAGCAACATATTCTGGCAGTCAAATGTTTTAATGAAATTCAAAAGAGTTTGAGTAAAGTTTTATTTGTGATATGCTAGTAGCGGTCTAGCCGATAGATTAAAAATTTTGCATAGCACCAGCGTTGATGTAATGAAGTAGCACATGTAATGTGAAAACCTAGGCAGCTAGGTTGTCTAGTTAGGGTAGCTAACATGTGTAGTAATTTGTTACAGACGACCACCATCCTCCCCCCACATTCACTCCGCCAGAACTGCCCAAGATGGTTCACGTGAGAGGTACAGTTTCACCTCAGTCAAAACCATGCTTCAGTCTCGCAATTTCTCTCTCTCTCTCTCTCTCTATATATATATTATATATTTCTCTGTCTTTATCTGCCTCACTTTTGCGTCTTTTATAATTGGCACTGTTGCTTTCTATCATTCATCTTTATTTAATCTAAAATATTCATTTCCATCGTTATATCATCACCGTTGGCTGATTCGATCTGCTTATATATATATATAAATCGCGTGTGTCACGTCAAATGAAAAAAAAGCTTTCACTTTTGTTTTATTCAACGCAGTTTTTCATACAACGTCAGATATAAATAGCTGCGTTGAATATTTAATGTTAAAAAAAAAGAAAACGTAATGTATTGAACGATCTAATGCTTTTTAACCTCACAGCAAACCCTTCCTGCAATCATTAAACTCACGATCATCCACACTTTAACATATCACTACCAGTTTATATTTTTTTTTAATTTTAACGTTTATAGTGATCATAATATTCTTTTTCATTAATAAATAGACTGTTTCAGTCAGTGTTTGGTTATCATAGTTACTTTTAATTATAACATAGCCTTTAGCATAGTTATTTATAATTAAAAATATTTATCTATGTAGTTATTCTCATCAAGTGCTTCGCTAAAATGGATATGTAAACTTTTTTTCTAACATCCCTTAGAGACAATGTTAAGTGTATAATTTCTTTTAAAAAAACCAATAATAAAAAGTCTTAGTGGATATAAAGCTAATTTTCCCCGTTACTGTGGCATGCTCAATTTACTTTCTCACATATGATAAAAAAATGGAAGATATCATGAATTTGATGTGACTTTCGCCATCTGTTTTTTGTTCACAACAGTAATTATGATGGCTAGTTAGCGTCGAAAATATTCAAATTTCTCAGCTAATTAAACACTGATGATGCTTTCTAATGAAGCAATCCAACTAGAGCGAGGTGTGTTATACGTCTCTGTTGGATGCGGCAAACGAAGCACATGCACAACGATGGGTCGTGATATATGCAAGCTTGCTTCCTTATTCTAAGAACAGGGGCCAACCAACTTTAATGGAGCATTGTTGCAGTATACGGGGGGAGTTTCCCTACCACACGTAGATTATAATCTCAGTGTGGTTATAAATAAAACTTTCATTCTACTTTATTTTTCTTTGTTTTTTATTTTTCCGAAATTCTCGTACTATTTTTTTCAAATAAAATTTTTTGTCAATAGGCACTAATTGACTTTCACGTTCTAGGTGAAATCAGTCGCGATCGTGACGATCCTAACGGTAAGTTGCTCGTTAACGAAAAGATCAGAGTTGGTTATTTCGAATGACATTGTTTTTTCTTCGTGTTACATAGCTATGCGTAATCACCGCAACTCTGTGGGAATCACGACGATGAACTCGACCAAACAGGTCAATAAAGTCAAGCCTAACGTCAATAGGACATCGACCGATGGTCTCGCTAGTCCCATTCAACAGCCGCAATACAATCAGAGGTATTTTCTACGATTCATCTATACGCGATCATGAATGCATCGCCTACACTATATACGCCGATATAACTATATGCCTACCATTTTTCACCAACCGCGGACTTTCATCACCAGTTTTTTTTCGTAGTTTTTTTATTACATCTCATCGTCACGCACAAAAGGTTTATACGCTTTGTGGGATGAAAATTATTGCAGTTTTTACAAGAGAAATAAATGAAATATGAACTTTTTGCAAGTTACATTTTATTAAAAAAGTATTTGATAAATATTTCTTTTAATTAAAATAAAAATGTACGTTGAAAAGTGTCTGAATAATGCATCCGATTTTTGTCACAATTCTTTGTTAGGTTACTTTTTAATTAAATAAAAATTGTGCAAAATGATTTAATTAACATATTTTCATTAACGATAAAGGACGTGTCAAGAACACACAAAGTACTTAAAAATAACTAGAAATGCAAACGCGTCGTCATCAACGCGCGCTAGCATTTACGAAAAAATTTTCTTGTTCGCAAGTCCTAATACAATTTGGAATATTTTAGCAATTTTTCGTCACCACTTTCCATCGCACCTTGCATCTCACCTTACTATCATCACGTATTTTTCGCATACTGTCACTCTACGGCACGCGAGTAATCATTGTCTTTGATCGATTGTGTGTTACTCTTTTTTTTTTTCTTGTAACGGAGTAATATTAGGAACGTTACTTGTTGAAATTGAAAGATCAGATATGATAATCATTTGTCATTAATTTAAGAAAAAAAAGCACGATTCGCATAAAACTGGTAAGGTTTTAGAACATTTTCACGCAAATCATCGCAAAAGCAGATAATAAAACACGAATTATAAAGCATTCTTGTTCTTATAAAATACATTATACTCTCTGTAATAATTAGATTTGTGATGCGTTGCAAACGTTCCAAGTTTTCTTGTTGAAAGTTCAGTTTATACTTTTTTTTTTAATTTTACGAGTTACTGGTTGAAAAACGTGCATGCAAGTTCAAATTAGATTACAATGACTTATCGTCAACCAACCATTCATTTTCATCGTATAATCTAAGTCCAATTCATCGCTTTATCAATTTTGAATGAAAAATCAGAAATCAATGAAACGTAGCCTAGAACTTGTTCTCAAAAGCAAACAGAAAATAAAAAGAAATTCAAAGACAATTTAAGAGCTAAGAAGCAGCACATAGAGAGCCTGAAAAAAAAACCAACGTGTGTGTTGACATTCTGCCTTTCCAGACCGCAACAGGAGGAGACTGTATACGCCGGCTACCATCTCGCCTACGAAGTGAAAAAACTCATGTACGCTTACTTAACGAAGCCGTGTCGTAACAAACGAACCAAACGAAAGTCAACAACAACACAGTTTCTTTTTTTGCATGCCTAGTAGATTAGTGATCTATGCTTGCCTATACGCTTATGATATATCTCTTTCCAATCTGTATGTCTGTGTGCACTTAACGGAATTATAATCCACACGCTCGCGCTTGAGCCGGAGGCAAATTCATTTGAAAGCTACGGAAAATGTAGCCAAGTTTATGTACTTCATTAGTAAATGGCCGCGAGTACTCGCGAAAGAGCAGACTTCTCTCCACTGATACCACCCCGATGAAATTCTAATTAGTAGGATAATTTAAACTTCCGACGCCATCCGTCATTTTTTCCACGATCTTATATCTACACGCGTAGTTTGACTTATTAAAGTTTATACTAACTGCAGTTTCTAGAGCGTTTATTCACCTAAACGAAACTTACAATTGGACATTATTGTATGATGTCAGTAGAGTAGCTACATGTCTGTCGAACATTGATAAAATCGACGTTGATTTTGTAAGCTTTTCATTATTGTAGTATAGTGATTACAAATCTCTTTTGTATTAGTGTAGCTTCTGCTTGATGTATATTAGTTTGGACAAATAACTAAACTAATATTTAACTAACAAAACCATATTGCATCATCCACTAACCAAGAGATATGCCGTCAAATGTTAACTGTGATAAAAAATGACATCGTGATCTCACATGCACGATATTTTAATAATGATCCACCATGGATGTGTTTGCGGAAAGTAATGTTGAAACATATTACTCGACGTGATTCAACAATACTTTTCAATGTCATGGATCGGAATTATTTCGATGTTACATGTTAACATTTAAAAATGGAGAAGATCACATGTTCCATCTGGCATTCTACCTTGTCCACATAACAAATCGTAACTTATCGGAGCATTATAACAAGAAATGAATATAGTTCGCCTGAATCCGAATCTGATGTGTGTTTGCGTGTGTGCATGTAACACCACCAGCAGATCCATTCTCAACCATTTTTTTTAAGCCAAAAGTTTAGACTGGATCTCCAAAGCAAAAAATTCAATTCTAACAAGAGAAACGATGACTAAACTAATACGGATTTTTTTCCTCGTCCTGCGCGAAAAAACAAAACGCAGGCCGACGAACCGAGCATCCGGTGGTTCGGGTGGTGTGAACAACAATGCGGTCCAAGTGGGTATTGCCGACGACCAAGCGAAGGATTTCGACTTCGAGAAAACGGAAATGAAGTACGACTCGACGGGGATGTTCCATTGGAGTCCGGCGCGTAATCTCGAAGACTGCATACTGGATCGTAATCAGGCGGCAATGACGGTTCTCAACGGCCACGTTGTCGTCTGTCTATTCGCTGATCCAGACTCGCCTCTAATTGGACTAAGGAATCTGGTGATGCCGTTGCGAGCTTCCAATTTCCATTACCACGAGCTTAAGCACGTTGTGATAGTCGGCTCGGTGGACTACATTAGGCGCGAGTGGAAGATGCTTCAGAATCTGCCCAAAATCTCGGTCTTAAACGTAAGTGCCACCACATCGCCACCCACGTACACACATACATATTTCATGCATAAGCTCGCCTCCATTGCTATTGTCAAAGCGTACGCTGGATTCGGCTTGGGGGATTAATTATTTATGGCTCTGCCGATGGTTAGAGTAAAGCTACGTTCGTAACAACGTTGCCCCCTTTGCGACGGTCAGGGATTTACGTTGATGCCATGTTAAGCTTTGGCATGAGTTCCAGACTGCGTCAATGATTTTCATGAATTTCTCGAAACATGAATACTTCAAGTGGAAAATAAGATGCAGTAGAAATAGGCAAATTTGTATACAGGGTTTGGGCATTTACATTTACATTGAAGTAAAGTTTATAGATTGATGAATCGAAAGTGAATTCAAATGATGTAGATTTGACTACAATTGTTAGAACATAAAATTTGACTCCATTAGCTTTTCAATTATTTCGAAACTATCAGCAACATATTGTAATTCTAAATTGATGCGCATGACGCAGGGTTCTCCACTGAGCAGAGCAGACTTACGTGCCGTGAACGTGAATCTTTGCGATATGTGTTGTATCCTGTCGGCAAAAGTGCCTAGCAACGATGACCCCACCCTCGCCGACAAGGAGGCCATTCTCGCATCTCTCAACATCAAGGCTATGACGTTTGACGACACCATTGGCGTGCTCAGTCAAGGTCTACTTTCTTTTTTAAGCGTCGTTACTAAAGTTCAACATACTCAAATTTGTCATTTGCTTCCGCTTGCAGTTGGGAGTCCCATGTTACTCCAAAGGAGAGGGTCTGTTTATGGAGCTAACGTGCCGATGATAACGGGTATGTGAGTTTGTGATTTTGTAATGGAAAAATCGAAGCTAATGACCTGACTTTTTATTCATTGCAGAACTTGTTAACGATAGCAACGTTCAGTTTCTCGATCAAGATGACGATGACGACCCGGACACGGAGCTCTACCTCACACAGCCGTTTGCTTGTGGTACTGCCTTCGCCGTTAGCGTGCTGGATTCTCTAATGTCGACGGTACTTGATCAAAACTTTAAGAAACTCAATTCCGTCAGGTGTGACTATTGATCGTTACACGTGTTATTGCAGACTTACTTCAACCAAAATGCACTGACTCTTATACGATCCCTGATCACTGGTGGTGCGACGCCCGAACTCGAGTTGATTCTAGCTGAAGGAGCTGGACTGAGGGGTGGTTATAGGTAAACGAAAGCTGTTAGATAATCATTATTATACGGTTCAGTGACTGAAATGAGATTTCTTTGTCGTTGCAGTACCGCAGACAGTTTAGCGAATAGGGATAGGTGCAGGGTGGGTCAAATATCATTATACGAGGGGCCATTGGCTCAGTTTGGCGAGAACGGCAAGTACGGCGACCTCTTTGTCGCGGCATTAAAGTCATACGGAATGCTGTGCATTGGTCTATACAGGTACAGGTATCGGACTTTCTTTCGTTGGATGGTATTTATTGGATTTTACCTGAACGTTTTTTCAAATTAATATAAACGCAACGGCCCACTTCGCCGTCTGTCGTCTCTTTTTTATTATATATATGCATATATATACATATTATTACTACTACTTATATTCTTATATTTATATTTACATTTGCCACCACTGTATATTGTTCCTTCTCAAGCCGCAATTTATTCTATACAATTGCTCTATAATTTATTACATATGATTTTTATTAATTTTTTGCCGCACTCTTTTTGCATTTTTTGCGTTTTTTGCATTCACAAGTGAGAACAAACAAAAGAGTTTATTTTTTGTTGGCAAAAAAAAAGAAAAGAAAGTTTGACATTGTATAAAGTGTTTGACGCAAAAACTTTTAAGTCGTGAGCCACCGCGCAGTAAGTTTCTCCATCCAAAAAATATCATTTTTAAACTTTTTTTGTCTCTCTGTCTTTGTCTCTGTCTTTCTTCCTCTCTGTCTCTATCTGTCTATCTATCTATCTATCTCTAACTCTATATCTATTCTATCTAACACTCTCTGTCTAACTCACAATGTCCTGTTTTCTCTCACCAATGTCTATTATACCAGAAATTAGCCTTTAGTTTGCTGCCGCATAGTTTTTAGTTTAGCTACTTATCTGTTTAGTTCCAGCTTATAGCTTAACTTTTTTGTTGTACTAGGACAGATCAGAAACGATATGTGTGTGTCTGTGTGTAAAAGCTTGGTTGGTCAAGAGAAAACTTTAAGACTAACGTTTGTTTCAATGGTCTTTTGTAGATTTCGCGATACGAGCTCGTCATGCGAAGCGTCCTCGAAGCGATACGTCATTACCAATCCTCCCGATGACTTTACGTTGCTGCCGACCGATCAGGTAAGCACATCGGTGTTCGGAATATCTGGAAAAGAAACGTCGCCGACTGACGAATGAAACGTTTGCAGGTTTTTGTCCTGATGCAATTCGACCCAGGCCTCGAGTACAGACCGAGCCGTGGAGCGCGTGGCAAAGACGATGCCTCCTGACTGTTGCTGTGTAGCGCCCTCACCGACGGACCCTACTCGTATATCTAAGCAGCGCAATCACTCACTCAAGCGAGAGCGCTGACTTGCGATCGCGTTTCGTGCCATCTTCCCTGCCCCGTCTCTCCCCGACCGTTTTCCTGTCATAACGTCACTTTTGCGTCGATCATTTCGAGATAATACAAAACCATGGAAACACAACATCCGAAAAAGCCATCGCATTCTGAATACATCACATATGCAGGCACTGGCCCGACGAGGGCACGTACGGCCAATGCCTAACGGAGATGGGCCTATTATATGGATTTTCCTCTCCTTCTCTCCCCCCCCCCCCCCTCTATCTCTCTCTATCTATCTATCTCTTTCGCTCCTCTACCAAGAATAACATACAAAAAACCCTTTTATATGTCGTCGCTTGTAACCTTATTGTAAAGAGAGAGAAAGAGACAAGGCGCACACACATAGAAAATGAACGCAACACCCATAGAAGTTTACACCAAAAACTCGCGCATGGTCATAAAGGATAAAAGGATGCAGGCACGTCGAACCGATCGCTATCGCACTTAAGATTATATTGGTCCGAGGGCTGCTACACGCAGATCCGAATCCGACACTATCTAACGTATGTACATGTGTACCTTTCGCAAGGAACAAGGCCGACGATCCGATTTGCTTCGGAAATTGCATTGGGCTACTGCGACTACTACTATTTTTTTTGGTTCTTCATCATTGTGATTTACTCGGACTTGCTAGAGTCCTTTAGGATTAATAAAGTAATGCTATGCTATCATATAAGGTGGAATATAGTTGTAGCTTGCGCAAATGTTATGAGTTTCGCTATATTGATAGCGCGCAGCTTTCCGAAGCGCGGCTCGTCGGCTTGTCGTATAAATTATATAAATATTATAAATAAGCGCGTCTTAGGTAAGGCAATATATAAATGCGACACAAGCGAACTACCAACTGAGTAACGATAACAAATTAAATAAACAAAAGAAACAATCCGATCAGAGAATCGAAGGATTGCGAGAGACGCCGTCGATCGTCACTGTTAAAGAAAATAAGCAAGGAAGTGCGTTCCTTGAGACAAAGTGAGCCCGGCAAAGGATGGCGTCTTAGGCCATTGGTCGGGACGAACCCAATATTAATGGGGGGGATCGATCAATCGAACGAAAAGAAGCATCGGAATGCCTCCGAGTCTCGAGAGATAATTCTGCCCGTGAAAGCCACACGGAAAAATAATATATACGTAAAAGCGTGCGACAGATGAGAGTAAAGAGATATATAAAAAGCGCAAAATTTTTCGAGAGAATAACAAGCAACAAAAATAATAACAATCGCGTTAGCAAAAGCACGCGGGACTGCAAACCGTAAAAAAATAAAAATAAATAAATCTTTACCTCGTGTGTCTTGTTTAGGACAAAATGAAGACTCTCAATCAAGCACTTTGTACAGGTTCTATATACATATTATATATACAGATGATTATTATAAATAAGAGGGATGAGAATAAAATGAACCCTAACGATAAGGCAAAGACACCCCTTTTCCACACGATTTTGCGTATAAAAAATGACAAACAAGTCGGTTGTATATTGGTATATATGCGGCATACATATATATGCACACACATCGTATATATATACATATATGTGTATACATAGACACTCTCTCTTTTATATATTTTTGAAAACTCACGTGTGTATATATACGGACATTCATTATAATATGCGACGATGCATTATACGTATATCTTTAATAATTAAGTCATGTATGAAGAGGACACGAATCGAAGTGTAGCCCCAAAAACACAATGATTAAAATGAAAAACTTAAAAAAAATTAACATATTTGAAACACGCGAGCAGATCTATTTGTAATAACGAGCGGCGTGTTATCTGCGAAACTGATGTAGCCGTCTTTCATTACTAATTTCTTATTGATTTCTAATTTGAGATTTTCTGTCCAAGTACGAAAAAAGTGCTTCTTCATATGAACTAAATATTTTTTGTGTTTCGAAAGTCACAAGCAGTTGCGACTGCTGCGACAACTAAGCAATGTAATGAAAAACGACTACATCGGACTTTGCGCACGACAACTGCAGCGATAAAGCAACGCAAGTACGTAAATAACGCATGTAATAACAAGTAGTTCAAGTAAGATATAGTCAGCCAATCTGTAATGAGAGAGAAAGTGAAGTGTATTGAAAGTCGCTTGCAAGAGTGAGATTATTTTATGCTTTGAGCTAAAGTAATTGTGACGATAACTGTTGAATATAATCTGGATATTAAAACGATGTTATTCATTACATATTGTTCATTTGAAGTAGTGAATTCAAATCTAAAAGCGTCGGTAACGTACTCGTGTTGTTAAATACCCGCATAATAGTTTATCATGTGTTAATATGAGAATATTTTGGTTTTGTCGGATTAAATAGTTTTTCAATGTAGATGGGTTTTTTGTTGATGAATAATATGGCTCATTTTTAGCAATATTATATGATTACTGCAGAAAATACTAACTATTAATGTACATAGGTTATAACTCTTGTTGATAAATATCGATATAAAATAATAAATCGTTCACATCATAAATGTCTTTAAGAACTATGAACGAAACTATAAAACAACTTTTAAAAACCGATATATCAGTGTTGAAATTTTAATCAAAATCATTCAAAATATAAACATTGGAAGGATTAAGGGTATATATAAGAAATGTTGCACGATTTCTATATTGTCATTTTCTCTCTCAGATGGACACGATAATGGATGGAAAAGCAAAGGTGCATAAACAATCACAATTGCGCAATAGAAAATCTTATGAAAAAAAAACCAAAAAAAATAACGAGAATTCGTAACGAACTCGTTAAAAAAAATCTAATAAAAAAGCAAAATGGTATATTGCGAATTTAAAAAAAGCCGCTGCTGTTGCTGCTGTTGCAATATCCACGTGCACTGTTCACTGCCACCGCAGTTCGTGTTGTTTAATGTATACCATATAAAAGTTGTATACCTCTACACACAGATCCACATATTTCAGAAATTATATACTTATACACTCACAGATTTACACACATGGGACAAAGATATGAAGTAAAAAAAGTACACACGGCTGTAATACATCGCGGCGAGGAGGTCCAGCGTGCGATAGAAGTGAAATGATAATCATCTTGAGGTCGGTCGAGATTCATATATCTATATAAGTAAAACTTCGGTCTAGCTCTCTACTTATATATCTTAATCTCTCTATATTAATGAATTTACATACCGTGATTGATCAAAGAAAATTATATTAGTAGATATAACTCGACAAATATTAACAAGTTTTCATCATAAACTTTCATTTTTACGTAGTTAATCGCAACAATAACTTTTATTTTAAGTAATAATTGATCAGAGATTTATCTTGTATGTAAAATCATAGAGTCCGTCTTGCCCTTGTCATTTTCTGTGTGTTCCTCGACGTGTCTCGACCTACAAAATTTTTCTAAAATTTCATTTAGACATTCTAGAAGATTAGACTATAGCTTTTAGAAATAATTTTTTCACTTGCAGGGGAAAAAAATTCGAAATTTTCGTTGTTGCACATTTTATGCTTTTGAATGATCAATTTTATTGACTCGACGCTTTATATTATTTTTATACACTAAAATGTATAGTTCATTTAGAAAATAGACTACAACCAAAAAATTTTTCACTGCAAATAAGAAATTCCATTGTCGATGGATGCCTAGATATAACTGAATCAGAAATAAGCATCAACCCATTCGCCGAGCAGCCATCGGGGAACTAAAGACTGCTGACTTGAAATATATTTACGTGAATCGTAAAATAAAGTAACGGTAATTAAGTAAATTTTTGCAAAATCGATCGTAACTCGTAGTTTCTCGAGCCTTCGCAAGGTAATCTTTAGATATACCTAAACATTCATAAAATCATACACACACACACACACACACACTTACACATACTTAATAATAAAGAATGCGTCGCGCAAATCGTCGATCTACACATAAACGTACATATAAAGATTCGTCTCTCGACTTATCCGTTTACTGTTCTTTCTTCCTGTCTCGTCTACTCCTGTAAAATCGCTTTGACCTCTCTCGCCTCGATGATATAAAAGTATAATTAAAAACGATAAAAAAAAGAAAAAAGATAAAAAAAACAAATTCGTGCATTAGAATTCGTACAAATTGATCATTCAATCGTGAAAGCCTTGTGTAGTTTGTTAGAGGAAAAGATCGCGTTTTCGCCCAATACATCACACGACGATCCCTCACGAGAATTCGGTAATCTACTCGTTCATAGGAATATTAATTGTTTTTTTTGTATTCGCTTAGATATGTGCGAAATTTACGTTTGTAATGGTTGTATATTGCGCAAGAGACGTTAAATAACTATGTACAAAAAATTAAAAAAAATGTGCGAATGCTGTCGATAGTAATATGTAACGTTTCATTTTGTTCATTTCTGTTTGTTATTCCTACATGGTGAATTTTGAATCCTTTCTTTGTTTACTCAAACGAGCAATCGATTTTTTTATGATATATAAATGGATTTTACGTAATTGCAAAAATAAAAAAAATACAAGTTGTTGCATTGAATAAAAATAATTTTTAAACAATGTTAAACATATGTCTTTTTTGCATTACCAACGATCATTATGATGTAAATAACGCTCATTTCTCCTATTATTCACTTCATTTTTAATACTCAATTTTATACTCTGAAATCAGCATTCATAACTTTCATTTGACTGATAATATCATTTGATATAAAAAGAAGAATAAATAAATAAAAAAATAATAAAAACAACAAAAGAAAAAAACACGAAAAAAAATTCTAACCGAGGGATTGTCGGTGACGACGAAGCACGGGTTACTTACGCACTCTCTTTAACTAATTATATCATGCACCAAATTAAGATCGATTCATTCATCTTTTAATCCCATTGAATTCTCTTGTGCATACTACGTGGATACTAAAGTAGATCGTGGTGGGTATTTTGCATGTATGTGGATCGCATATTACACTAAGAATAAAGTGGAATTATGGAAATTTACGGATTTATGTTATTTCGATAAAATAAGAATTTACAGAAGCGTAACAAACAATGTGAAATTTTGCTGTAAAATGGGATAAATTTAATTGTAACGCAATGATTTATGTCGCTACGTTATTAAAGAATAATGATTCAATGCTATTATAATGTGTGAACAAAAAAAACTGATTAAAATAACGTAACGGAACACAATGAATGATTAATATGTGAAGAATAATAAAAAAGGCGAGCAGAGCGTGAGCCACCTTTAATATGCCTCATTGAACCTCATCTAATGCTTTTTTATCTGTACATTTACAATTTGTGTACCAATGAGGAACGTTGTTTAATCATGTTGTTGATGTTATTGTTAAAGAATGAGATTCAATATTGTACATAACTATATTCATTATAATTGATGATATAAATAATTATATACATAAAGAGAAAAAAAGTGAAAATAAACAAAGTTATTGTTCTTGTTATTTGTTTCCTTTATATATATATATATATATATATATATATATATATATATATATATATATATATATATATATATATATATATACACACACACACATATATATATATATATATAGTGTTTCACGTAATTTGTCAATAGCACATGATTTTAAGACTAAACGTTTTTAACGAAAACTAAGAATGCATCCAATGGCAACGATGAAATGGAAAAGCTTCTTATTTTGGTAAAGATATTATGATTTATTATAATTTTTATTTTGTTGTTGACTTTTTCAACAATAATCATTATTGTAAAAAATGCTTGTAATGTTTTGTTTCTAAAATTATTGCATTGCCAAACATATAGCCTAATATTAGCTCCGTAGAAACATCTACAGAGTGTTTTACGCTGTAAAGAGTGCGTGCATTTTACAGGCTCATATTTGTCGAAGGTTTTCATATGTTATTCCGATAGTTTCATTAGAATATGAAGAAATCGAGAATTAAAACTTTCATTCTATACTAAATTTTATTAGCATCAACTGTTATACTTTTTTAAAATTTGATTTACTTTTTTAACTTGATTGCATTTTTTTAAACCTAGTGGTTTCAGGATATTCAGAAATAAAATGGTCACCTTTTATAATTACTGTACATTATATTTTAAGGAAACGTATAATTAATAAACAGATGTGCCATTAATTTTTTAAATAAGTCTTTTAGTTTGATAAAAAAAAACGATTAGTAGTATTAGAACTATGAAGTAAACAATAGATGTTATGAGTACAAATAAATTAATGTATCACAACGTAAAGTAATCGCATTAAAGTACAAAGAAAAACGAGCGTTGAATTTTTATGAATTCCAAATGGATGAAACTGTAATCGGGCACTAAATAAAGAACTACTAATCAGTATTTTGAGAGAGAGTAGGCAAGTGTGCATGCATATCGGAAGTCTTACGGGCAATAAAATTATCTCTGTCGACGGGAGATCAACAAGTGTGGAAACCGTTCGCAGATAGCTTTAAGTTCTTTCTACTTGACTGCGCCACACGTGGAGTTGATCCTTCAACTGGAAACTTGTTGGCGATGCTCCAATGCTTTAGTGTACTTGAGGATAATACGTTTCGTCGCTATGGCCAATTTTTCCAATGCATTTGCTCGGTGTAGCAAATAATTGCTTCACTTTAAGATGTATTAACACTTGAATAGATTATTATTCATTCATTTAATTATTAATACAGTATAAAACGTCTGTAATTGAAAATTGTTTACCGTACGGTGACAGATAATTTCTCGGCTACACATATCTCGCGCGCAAGATGTAGCACGGGATTAATTACATTACGAGCATGTGACAATTAACTGTTGTCAAGCTACTATATTGATAGACAGAAAAATAATGTCAATTATTGATACATTTTCAAAAGTTAACTCGAGGTCAAACTGTTTAATTAGATCAGCAGGAAAGTTTATGAATATAATTACGGTTGATATGTTTAATATTGGTTTCTGAAATGATATGCTGGGCAATACATAGACATAAATATAATTCAAAAAGATATTTTTAGTAATTAATACTGATATATTCGGTATTAAGAATATTATTATATATATTCGGTATTAAGAATAAATTAATAAGGAAAAGAAAATATTGCTGAATGTTGTATAAGCATATTTATACAGGAACTTGATATTTAAAAGTGAAAGGAAATTTCAAAACGTATTTTGTTCACGTTACATTACAATTTGCATTCTCAGTTGAACCTCGTAAATCAGGTTTTGAACGTTATAAAAATGAGATTACGTATAAATAACTCTGTCAGCGTCCAAGCCAACCGATAAAAAAATTAAAAGAGACCTCCTGAAATACAGCGAGCTCGTCGCCACAATTACGTGAGTATACAGAGGCAACGCACGTATAAGAAAAGTGCAAAGTCGTGAAAAAGGTGGGAGATCCGTTCGTGCAGGCGCGTCAATGTGTCGAATGTGAGTTGCATGCCGGCAGCAGAAGGTCCGGCGACGCGAATCGAGACGAGTCGAGAAAAAGAAATTAAGAAAAGTGAGTGTACCAACTGAAAGAGAGAGAGAGAGAGTGAGAGAGAGAAAGAGAGAGAGAGAGAGTACAACGAATAATCACGACGTGTCATAGGTCAAGCAGATGAGATACTCAGCCGTCGTGGTCGCTAAGCGTAGTCGACAACGTGTTTTTCAGTGGCAAGCCTGCACGCTCTTGCGTAACCACGATTGGACTCTGCTCCTCCTGGACGCATTCACTTCTTCAACGGGTAATGTACTTTCCGATTGTTGTGAGTGATTTCAGTTCTTTTCATTCATTTGCTTATCAGACTTGCTGTTATTTTATTCAATTTTATTATTTTCAATTTGCGAATTGTTGGTACCGCGAGTGAACAAAAAGATAATGTCTATTTAGACACGATATAATACTGGTAGAGAATGATAAGAGCGAATTCATATTAAGGTGGACGCCGTTTGTGATAGGATGAGCAAAAATGATCCATAACATTCTATTAGCGTTATCTTAATATGCGTAAACTTATCATTATTAACCTAAAGACACCGCTAAAATAATAAATGTTTCTAATTTTCATTAAAACAATATATATTTTAAAACAATACAACTACGCTATTAGATGTATTAATATCGATGATTTTATCTTCATACAAATACAGTGATTGTACAAATTCTATAATTGTCTAGAGTTGAATGATTATTCTCTTGTTAAATACAATTTGCCGTAAAACATTAAACAACCGATCGTCAATTAACAAAGAAAAGTGCAAAAAACAATTACCATCTCCTACGTATTATTGCAAATATTTTTGATTTTCCATATTCTAAATTGTCAGTAATCGCTTTCTTTTTCTCCTGCAATCTTAATCGATTGCTTAATCAAGTGTGATAAAAACGAAAAGAGCGAAAGTAAAATTATTGTCGTGATTGTGTACCGTGGAATTTTTGTTGTTGTTGATCATCTAGTTGTTTAATTAATGTACCCTATCATGGTGTTACCCCATTAGCGCAAAAAAGAACGGGTATTGTTATCAATTTCCGTTTAGAATTATCGTCTCTTCTTTCTTTGTTTTTTCGATCTTTATTGAGAGACAAGAACACATTCACTGCTAATGAGACGCGATAAGCAATTGATTGTGTGGAATTTGTCGAAATCTGCCGAGCGGCTGCGAATTTTAACATTTGAATGAGCAACCTTATCGATATTAGATAATGCATCGAAGAACTTTGCACCTTAGTTGAGGTATCTAAGTGATTAGTCTTATCGCAGTGTCCATGGATTAAGCTGCTTTTTTTTTGGCATTCATTATCTTTGTCATCGTCGTCGTATTCATGTTAATAATTATCATAAATAGTCTCATCAATAACAACCTGATTAACGTTGTATGTGGAACAATTACATGCTCAAATTCAATTTATCAAACAACAAATGAAACTTAATCGTAAGTATGTGTCACAACGCCAAAAAAAAACATATTCGGATGTATATGCATATGCACATATAGCCTCGACACGAACCACCATTGGACGAGCGATATCCTGCTGCATGACATTATAACCTTTCTTATCATCACTCCCCCCAACACACAGACTCACTAACTTTTCTCTTGATGTACATCTTGTGGATGGACGCACAGAATGCAAATATATGTCTACTGACTGCAAACACGTGTTGCCGCACGCATTTTATGCTTCCGTCTATTGCTGTCGTATACTTTTTTTTATATTGTCTGGGCAATCGAATTATCCTCAAATGCCTCTGATGCAATCATTGATATCATTTTGATATTATGACTTTTATCAGACATTTAAAACGCAGAATGTCTACACTTTTATATAATCGCTAAGTTGATATGCGACTAATCAAAAAAATTTATATGTTTTTCTGTGTAAGCTAATTGCTTGATCTTGACGTTATATACAATCAAGTTCTATGAAGTAATGCATTATAGTAGTACATAGTTTTCAACAACAGGTATTTAAACATGACAGATAGCTTATTAATAAAATAAATTTTCAAAACATTTTAACATTATCAAACGCTGATTCCTTCAAATTTAGATACTGGTATCGTCATTATTCTGTGCAGCAAATGTTCAAAATACACTTGCAGATTGTTACTCCAAGAGAACGCAATAAATTATGTATGCAAAAATCGTCTAAATCATTTATTGAATGTTTTTTCACGTGAATGAAATAAATTTATTAAAATTATTTGTAAGATGAAAGTATATATGTAAAATCCATAAAATTCATTATAAGTTTATCATGAACTTCTGAGTAATATGAATTTTCGTTAGACTTTTAGTCATCGGTTTTTCACAATTTGAACAAGAATGTCGAAAGAAAACTAAAAAAGGTCATCTAAAATTATTCACAGTTTTGTCATTCCCATCTTAAATCTCATCATCTTAGTTCTATTTCAGTGTTAAAGTCACAAAAAGCAAAGTTTGCTATACGCTGGTTTCGTCGTCTGTGCGTTTCTCTGTGTCTCCCTCTTTTCCATTAGTGCGAGCAGCGCTCGCTATCAAATAAACGGAATCACGGAGCGTATGTGCGTATATATCTGTCTGTCTTTTTCAGTGCATCGGGTGCAACGGAAGCGCGAGGCATAAAGAGTGCAGCGAGCTGGCCACGGAGAAAGACGAGGAAGACTCGGATCTAGTGGTGCTGGCATGGCCCGGCCTAACATCATCAAAAGACGGCACACCGAGCTGCAGCTCGAGTCTGTCGCCAGGATCTCAAATCTACCGATTGTCGAAAGTGGTATCAACATCGCCGGCAATGTTTATCGTAGGATCAAGGTACAGTTTACTTTTTTCTTAATTTTTCCTAATAATTATTTATGAATGTAATTATATATTATTATCGATGATGTGAGCAAACTGTGTATCTCTCTCTCTCTCTCTCTCTCTCTCTCTCTCTCTCTCTCTCTCTCTCTCTCTCTCTCGTTATCGGTTGTAATGAGCAGTAAAGTGGCAGTTTGAGTGAATTTCCCGATAATATGGTCGAGAAAGCGAACGAAAACAATAAATATAATCAAAATAATACCGTTATCGTCACATGTGGCTTGAATAATGCAACGTTTGCTGTACGTATACTGCTACGAGTAACTTACTACTCCATATTTTGCCATTGACTTGTAAAAAACACAAAGTTAATGCACAAGTGATTGTATAATTTGATACTTTTCAATTGAGAGTTTATAATAAAGCTCAAAAATATTCACTCAATGATAAGTTCAAACAGTATAAGATACGAGAGAGTAATGAAGAAGAATTCATTCCATTTGATGAACCGAATAAAATTGAATAATCCAAATATGGTGTAAATATACTGGCTATATATATGTGTGTGTGTGTATGTATGTATGTATGTATGTATGTATGTATGTATGTATGTATGTATGTATGTATGTATCATTTAGAGCTTTATTTGTTTAATCATAAAGCAAATATACTGAATTCCAAGAAATAAATGTATGGAGTTCCGGAGATAACAGAAAAAATAAATACAATAATAATTCTTTTTTTTTTATTGTTTTATTTGTCCAACAGCGTTCAAATTCTTTAATAGATTGGGGTCTTGACACGGCCGAGACCTCTTTAGCATCAGCAATGGCAACAGCAACAGCAACAGCGTTGCCAGCAATGATCGTACTCAATGGGCCAATAATGACAATTGACCATCTATTGTGCAAAGGTATTGATATGGTGGAGCAACGTGTTCCAGCAATACATCTTCCTCCACATCTTGTAAGTAACATAAAATTTCCTATTATATTGTAACTAGGCTTCTATTACAACGCTTTACTTGCAGAATTTTACAGTTTAACTAAAATAACTAATTAAACCTTAAAATATCTTGTTATAATATGCAAAGAAAATGATGAAATATGTTAAGCCAAATGAAAAAAAAAAATGTTTAAATAAAAATATTTGAAAAGATAGAGAAATAAATATTTCTGCAGATGTACTGGAACACACGAGAATACGTAAACAATAAATTTGTGAAGCCTGTCTTGATAAGGGCAGACAGCGTAAAGTTGATCGGTAGCCAAGCAGCCAACGCAGCCGTCGATAGGTTGAATGGTGCCATTGACGTTGCTGACCAATATGTTGATCGCTATCTACCAGCCGATCCTGCAGATAAAAGTGCAGAAGGTAAGCTTTTGTATTTATGTACCAGTATCAGAATGTTACTTTCTATCATATTGAAAAAAATTAATAGAATACTTCCATGTGTGTATCTTTTTAAATGTTTGCATGTTACAACTGTCGCAGTAGATTGCACAGACTCCGCCAAACCTGAGGAGACGGGCAACAAAGCTGTTCGTACAATCGAACATGGCGCCAGATTTTCACGAAAGTTACAGCGAAGGCTAACTCGTCGCACATTAGCTGAAGCTCGAGCACTCAAAGAACAGGGAACAGAATGCATTCACGTATTATTATACGTTGTTGAACTGGTGAGTCACCAATGTTAACTTTATATTCTCAAATTGCATATATTGATAGAAGACAATTAAACGGCGCGAGTGTTGAATTGATTGCAATTGAAAAAAATTTTTTCAGATCGCAACCGATCCAAAATTAGCGTGGCAAAAGGCCAAAGAACTGTGGACATCGCTGAGCCTTCCCGAACCAGAGAATCAAGCCCGACCGACGAATCTGGAGCAGTTGTTGGTTCTATTTACGCGAGAGACAGCACGTCGCATTGTTCATTTGGTGAATGGTACGGCAAACTTGGCATCCCGAGCACCGCGTCGTCTGGGCCGCACCCTCATTAGGATCTACCATCAACTAATCACCATCTCGGAGCAGGCCCTCAAGGTTACCAGTCGCTCGATTTACCGAATCCTTGTAGATGTATTATCAGCCACGAGCTCGTACCGTCAACACTTGATTGCTATCTCGGACAGTCGTCAGTCGTGCGATCGTCCGAGGCGCAAGCTTCATTTTCAAACTAACGGGGTCTGCGCTACTGGTAACAAGTGTAACGTCGGTGCCGGTATCGATGGTAATGGCTTCACTGGCAATTATCTCTCGTTGATTGCTAAAATCAATATTGTCTCGTTGCCGCGAATCCATACCAAATCATCATTGTCTTCATTTATCGAGGAGTTGAGCCCTGAGGATGATGATGAGGATGCTAATGCAATTGAAGTCAAGGACAATGATACAAATGAAGCAAATGAGGCTAATGCTGGCTCCAAATTTTTTTTGAACGCCAAAAATAATGGCGCAATGATCCCATCAGTTTTTAAAAAACCTGTTAGGAAAATACCAGTTAAAACCTCTATCGCTTACAATGGAGAATCAATATTGCCAGTGAAGGTCAATAGCAACGTGGATAAAAGAATGCCTCTTTTCACTAAAATTAAACCTTTGCCAATAATTCGGCAGCAACAATAATTTCCCTGGTAAAATTATTCATGATTATTCTCATTGTCGACATTTACTTAGAACATTGATTTGATTTGGTGAAAAGCAATCTTTATCATATACACCGTTGATTGTAATATTAGTATTACTCGAGGGGAATTAAACACTCAGATCACCAAGATCTCGTAAGTAAGCTTTAATATTTTATTTACATTGAATAATATACGTAAATTTTAACGGTAAATGAAGAAGACGTTGGGTTTTCTGGGTGTGCTACAATTAAGACTATCAAAAGTCGTATGAATGTCGCTGTGCCGTCGATATTGGAACCAGCTGTTTCTGATATTGCAATCAAAATTTGAATTATAATGAAGTCATACATTGTGTGATACAATCATTTTTATTTTTTACAAAATATGATAACATGCTATGTAGATGATTTTATATTCAAAGATAGAGATCCGTAGAATCTATGATCTTAAAGTTGCTCCATATTTTGGAACGATACAATGCCGAAGAAACATATAAATTTTTTCTGCATCAATGAATATAACCTTATACATGTAATCAGTAAAATTTTGAAACATAACCAGGTATAACTGTGATTGTAGAAAAATTGTTTATTAAGAGATCTAAAGTTTTGAAGTTTTTCTTATCATTTCAAGTGATAATTGCATATCAGTTTATCGTCAAACTCAATTTTTATAGTATTGTTCATCAAATACATATCGTCATATAACGTATATATAAATTATACTTAAAGTTTTGGTTATTAACTGTTTTTATGTACTTTTTATGTGACTGCTTAATAAACAATTTTCATACAAATCAGACGTTTTGTCATTTCCAACTTTTACAACATTTTAAAAATATTATATGGTCAGCATTGTTTCAAATTTCTTTTGATTTGATATTCAATATTACAGATGGTATTGAATGCAGGAAAACGCGATATCTCAAGTGCGCAAATGAATGGTTTGCGAATTGCTATTGGCAGACTCAATTCTTCGACAAATCAATATTTAGTAAGTTATCGCTTATTATAATATATACAGGCGAATCTAAAGTTACTCCCGAAAAGTTTACAAATATAATATGTTAATTCATTTCTGCATTAATTTGTAGGAGGCGTTAGCGGCCTATTTAGCTGGTCGTCCAAAATCTAAGAAAGGAGTAAAAGCATCCATACGTCAAGTGAATCACAACAATCACACAAAAAAGGCAAACACGATAAACCCTCCTGTTAACGGGATTGAATAACATGTAATAAGTATTTTTCCAATAGCCAGACTTGAATGAACAATCACAATTAGTTTCGGACGGAATGTCAACCAAAGAAGTTGTCATTGGTCGAGGCGAATTCAACAAAAAACTAATTATCGAGACATAAGTCAAATATATATGCTAAAGTTTCAATTGATATTATTGTGTCATCATCAGAAAGACAATTGATATATGCGTGGCATTCTTGCAGATGATTGATTTGCAGAGGGGAATCCGCATTGTGCAACAAAAGTTAATTTAACGTTGTGTCCGTAAATAATTATTTTGCAAGAAGTGAATCAATTATGTTACTTTATGAAATTGTCTCAAGGCTGATCAAAATATTGGACTTTGATAATAAAAATCAATGATAAGATTGAAATACCTCTTTAATTAGTGTAATATGATAAAACAAAGTGAATCATGTGACAAATATTCAAAATTTTTTTGACTAAGTTTGAAGGAAAAGTGATATTTTGCTATTTCTACTATATACACTATATGTTTTTTACATGTATCTTTGGAATTTTTATTGTTATCAAAGTTTAAATTAACTTAATAAAATAGTTTATAATAAATTGATAATGTATTGTTAATTATAGTTTATAAGAACCCTTTTCCCAATGGAAATTGAAGATTACTTTGGATAGTGCAGACTGCTTTAAAGTTATTTGAAAACATTTTTTAAGATAGGTGATGATTTTCTGATAAGTAAGTAGTTAACAAAAATTACGAATAGTTATTGCAAGTGAATAAAACGTCCCTGTCTAAAAATAAACAAGTTCAAAGTTAAAACTTACCCTAGACTGTCAATAGGTAATAGTATTAGTGAGAACTACATAGTTCGTGAGGCGCCTCGCCTATGACAACAGTTCAACAAGTTTATCGGACACAGACGAGGTGGCTTATCATTAAAATGAGAATGAGACAGACGGAGAATGAGAAATGAATCACTATAATTGCCGAGTGATTCTATTTTTTCCAGACGACCAGATTCTGATAATGCGTTATATATTTTATACTAGATTTGTATATATACGTAATCTATGGCATGTGAGCTTCATGCTTGGTATACGTGATAAGTGCATTGTGATCTCCACGAGTTGAGGAAAGAAAAAGGGAAATAAGAGAACGCGCACGTGTTCGTGCTGCAAGTGGAATTGTTATTTCGTCTTTTCCTTCGGTTCTTTCTTATTTTGTCTGGATTTGTGCTGCGACAAATTGATGTCGCCAGTGAATGACTTTACATGTCATGTATCTCTATACTGTGTTGCGAAAACAGCAAGATAATAGATATTATCTTTGCAGGCATAATTCTTAATAAACTTCACTTCGAAAAATTTTTCTTTTCCTTTAGCCATATTAATAAATTAAACTGGGAGATAAATGGAATCTACTTATAATTATATAGATACCGGTCAATATGTGGGTTTAGGATGATCTATGATTTTTATATGATTTACATATAGAAATAATTACTTTGGAACAGAATGTATAATAGGCGAATTTCGATATTATTTGTAATACTATTAAAAGTGAAGTATTTGAAAAAAAATATCTAATGATATACATAATGAAAATCCGACAGAGGTCGTGTGGAAAAAATTAACATAGATGCAAATAAACATGTGATCGCCATTAAAATTTGTTCGATAAATCAATAACGTATATTTGATAATGTAATAAAAATATCAAGTCAATGAACGATCAGTATTACACTTCTAACTATAATATCTCCTTTGTAAAACTGGAAAGTCAGCGGTTAACCACGTGTTTTTTCTTTTGTCAGCATATCATCTCAACTGTAATACTATCTGGCAAATAATTGAATACAATTCGAATCAAACGAGAAAGCTTCCCCTACATTGATTCGCGGAAAATTAATAAAGTAGTCACTTATCAGTGCAACTGTCGGAAAGTGTCGCTGCCGAATGAGTGTCAAGCGCCGTGTGGACTTTGAACCAACGAGTGTCGCCTTTGTCACTCTCTCCTTCTCCCACCGTTCGTTGACCGAAACAAGCAAAACGTTCGCTTATAAGTGTTTACTCAGGCTGATCAGTTAGTGTGGTTCATGCGCCAAGCGAAGAAGAAGAGAAATCGGAGCGACAATTTTTGCAGTTCTTTTTCTGTGAGTATTATGACCTTTTATTTAAAGAAATCCTTTGAATACGATAAGGTTGATTTCTAGTGCGTCATTTTATAGAACAGGATAGGAGGGTGGGAGGAAAAACTTATTGTTAAATTAGCAGCCGGCGCTCCTTGTTGTGATAAATTTTGAGAATATTTTGATTTGTTATTTGACTAAAAGAGTTTCATTTTTGGACGATAACCGTGTTTTACGAAAGCCTTCGACGAATTTGTTGATTTTGTCAATTGATGGAATATTTTAAGCAGATAATCAACGTTTTATCGATCAATGTTGACCTAGATGGTGAGATAAACACTGAAATATTGGTGCAATAAACATTCGCGATTACACTATATTGAATGTACTTAAATGTAAATCAGTGTCTGAAATCTTATTTACTCAAAAATACAACTTATCGATGAACTTTTGATGCTGTAACGTAGTAAATAATAACGATTAATCAACTTTGACTTACAATCATTAAATGTTCGTAAGGTCATGCGATATTATCGTATGATAACGCGTCAAAATTTATTCTTCATAAAGTTATAATATCTGTAAAAGGTTAAGCCGAAATAGCTCTATCGTATTTTCAGACGCTACTTTCTCAGCAGTATTTCTCCAACGACGTCTAAAAATGAATAAAAAATCTCTAGTTTACATTGTATATTCAGTCGAATCTGTTTTTGTACCGCATAAAAGTTATAGGTTGATTGTTACAGCCGAGAATTTGTCTATGTATATTAATAGCTTCACCCGCGAGTTACTGAACTTATGTGTGCATGTATATCTGTAGTCTCGCGATTCCTAAACCTGGAAAAATAGAATGTCGTTACAAAGTGAAAATATTCGATAGACAGCGCGATGCGCGTGTTTACTCACAATAAGAGAATTTACGGGGTAAGAAGACAAGCGTCATTGATAAATATATCACGTCGTTATCATCAGAAAATCAACATACACAAGCTCAATTGCTGACCATCGTTTTCCATAGCCAAAGTCAAGCCGCGATAATGACAACAGTATCAATCCAACTACCGCAAATGGAAGTATTTCATCGAATACTCGAGTTACCTGTAATTGAGTTAGCTTACAATAAGTCTACCTCGACGTATACCCGTTTCAAGGACTCCAATCAGTTGGTCCATTGGGCTCTTAGCACTGCTGAATCTTCTCTTAGCTCGGCTTCGAGCAAAGCTGCACCTTACGCCAAGAAGCTCGAGACTCCCATCCACTTTGTCGATAATACTCTCTGTCGTGGATTGGAAAAGTTTGAGGAGAAGATACCCATTGTCAAGGAGAAGCCTGAAATGGTGAACTTAACACATGATATATTTATCAGCCATTGATAGATGTTTCATCATACGTGTTTTTGTTGTCTGCAAATTACATTTTTTCCTAACTACAATTTAACTAATGCTAATTTCGAATAATGAACTTTATAGATCTTGGAAAAGTCGTATATCTTCACTATGGAAAAGTTAGAAACAGCTTTGACGACGATTTCTCTCGCACATGATTTTCTGATTACTCGTGCTACTAACATTAAGGACATCAGCTGGAACAAAATAAATCAAATTCTCAGTACGCATTATGGTACTGCTGCAGTAACCAGTCTTGACAACACTGTCTGCCTTGTCGAGATGCTGATCGATAAGTACTTCCCAGCCATCGGCGAGGAGAATTTTCCAGGTTCGTCAAATGATAATAAAAAACTTCCATCTTAATGTAAATTTCTATTTTAAAAATTATTGAATTAAGTAAAAAGAATTAAGTACAGTAAACTACCAACCTATATTTCACCTATTCAACATTTTATATTTGCTTATATACCTTGTAGCAATTAGAAAAAGTGAAAGTCCATATGAATACTAATAATAACTTAACCATTTTCAGAATTAGTGCCAATGGAAAGGGATAAACTCCTATTTACCCTACAAACAGTTGGTCGTTTGTCAAACAAAGCGACTAAACGTATTTTCACCAACGTTGTTCATCACCTACGTATCCTGCAAAAAGATCACCTTAGTCAGTATTTGAATAACTTGGTGGAGTTTCTTCAGATGGCGAATTTCATCAACGCCAACTATAATTGTAAGCCATCCAGTGAGATGTCGAGTTCCGTATCAAGTACAACGGTCCACCACCACAAACAATAATCGACAAAATCAAATTTTTCATCATCATACTGTACTTCATTATCATCAACGTCGTCGTCGTCCTCATCATCATCCTACGCAGTCACGAAGACCAGTTTCTTCGGTTTATTATTTTCTCATCGTGTACGTCCTCGACATTGCATTTGTACTTTTTGTGGTCGTGCATTTTGTGTTGCTCTTGTTGGCTGGTGAGCAAAGACGTACTAGCACTTATTTCAAGTCCAGACACGAACCACGATTCGCTGGTGATTTCGCTCTCGTTGAAACGCTCAGTAATCGAAAAAGAGATTTTTGATAGTATTTTATTCTATGTATATTTTTTGTGATAGTTCAACTCTTTTTCACGAGTTATTTCTACTATTGTTCTTTATTTGTTGTGAGTCTAGGCGATAATGTGTAAAGTAGTATCTTTACTAAAAAATAATACAAATATATTAATCTGTTATATGTTTTAAGTGTCGAGTGTTGTTATGTTGATCATAAAAATGTTTTTTATAAATGTAATTTTCTCTGTAAGTTTGAATGTTTTTGGCCTGTTTATGACATGAAAAACAAAAAAAATTTTATGTACCCATGTAACGTGATTATAAAATCTCTATTTTCGTATTTATAACAAAAAAAATTATAAGTTCACATTCATATTCATGTAAGAATTGTGTTAACGTAATAAATGTTTTTTTATAAAATTACTGTAAAAATGTTTATAGTTTTTACGTCCTTACATCTTCTGCTTCTTATACTTATTAATTTCAATTTATATATCACTTTAGCATTAGAAAATTTCTTTTGTAAAAAAAATATTACTGAAATAAGAAAGAACATTGAAAGTACTCTCTTTCCATCACCATTACCGAACAAAAAAGAACATATATGTACGAGTTTTATACTGAGATCTATATAGTTCGTATAATACTGCGAAGGTATTGTGGCTCTAACCTTTGCACTTTCCACCATGCACTATCTGTGTCATTAATCATTATATAATCATGAATGAATCTGGAAAGATGTTTTTGACCAATTTACGTGCAAGATTACACAATATTTTTTCTATACCCGCTAGTCATTTCAGCCTTGTCCCGATGAGTAATAAGTTCCAAAGCGACGACCACCACGTCACCTTCCAATCCAGTGCCGTCTATGCAATTTCATCAAACACAATAACCTGTGCAATAAATACTTTTTCATTTTCTTGCGAATTAAAAAAAATAATTGATACAACTGGAAAAATAGTTAAGACCGACTAAATAAAAGCCATCTTCATTATTTATTAAATATAATGTTAAAATGATCAACAAAATATTATTTTTATAAATATTCTTTTTTTATTTTATTAATTTATAATTATAATGTTATAAGATATTAAAATCATGTTTGATGTATGTATCGCTTTTGTAATTTTACTATAAATTTTTATTATTTAAAGAGCATTTTAATTATAGTTCGAAAACATTGTTACTATTGAATCGACAACTGTTAAGATTTTAAATTAATTAAGTAAAAAAACTCGTTTATCAAATTTTTAGGTCTACAACTTATTATTAACAATAGCTTAACTATAACTACAGACGACTGCTAAATTTTATGAATAATATTTCCACTTAAGCAAAAATGATAAAATTAATTTTAGCTTAACAACTTATTTAAAGTGGGCTCTTACCAATCTAAGTACGGCACTGTATATTGAGGAAGTGAGGGAAGTTTTTATAGTAGTTACCACACACACACACACCCATACACCCATGCGCACACACATATATATATATATATATACTTAAGCGATCAGCGGCTGTTGCTCAGTTATTCAGAGTTCACTCAAGCAGACGTACTAGAACATTTCATGTGACAAGCAACATCTAGGCTACTAAAAAATTTGTGAATAATTGATAGCAAGGTAATTCAACTCTCATTTTCCAATCATATCACCACGGAGTGAAATACAGTTCGAAATAAATTGAGCCAGGAAAACATGTGTATTTGCGTACCGGCATTTTGATGTTAATACGCTTATTTTCTCGTCGTCGCACGACGTTGTATAGATGAAGTTGTTTTTTTCACAGTTGAAGGTGATGATGAACGAGAAGTAGCTTTTATTGATAATTATAACCTACTCGTATAGCCACGTGACAAGCATTTATAACGGTCGTTATTTTAAATTATCTAATTTATTTTGTGCGAATCGGAGTAAGGATTGCATCATGAAATTGGTATGAGTAGTTTCGATACGGCCATTTATTATATTTTCTCCACATTGCGCGTAAAGTGGTGACTGTACGCTCTTCTAGTAGGGAGTACAGAATTATAAACAACCTGAAAACAAAATATCTCGTGCTTGCGCGATGCGTCTTTTCCGCAAAACAGTGCATTGCGCGCACACGAGGCACTTTATTTTTAGACAGTGAATGCAGTCCTATGTCGCCTGCGTAACATCACACATTTACGTAGAAGTGTGGAAAACAAGTAACGCGAGAGTAGAGTAGGCATAGATTTGCACCGTGTGATGTTGCCGACCGAGTGAAGCGAGGTTCTATATAATTTGTAGTAGCGTAATATACGACTATATTATTACCGTGATAGTTTACATGTTTTTCTTTTTAGTACGTATTTCACGTATTTATTTTTAAAAGTTCAGCTAACAAGTTAATATATATTAAAAAAAATTAGACTATAGGTCACGAGTTCATAATATAACTGCCAAGTCGACAGTTGATCTTTCACTGCAAGTAATTTCTATTTCTCATTGTCAGTTTACTTTCAAATTGGTTTCTCTCAGTTTTCAGTGCATTGAAATCTATATGACATTTTCTATTTGGAATCGGTTCACTTCTCGAGAAATCTTTCAAAGCTTTGCACGGTTCGATATCTACTGCGTAAAGCTAAATTTGTTTACAAGGGTCCGTTATATTTCTTTAATTCACTATCGTTTATATGTGACGGAAATAGCACTTTATTTTTTTTTTAATTACTTGGCATTAATTTCAATCTTATATAATGCATTAAAAATTTGTCATTTTATTATCGATTGATTTAACACTAAATTTATTACAAAATTTTATTTCTTATAAATATTCACGGATTCTATCAAAACATTTCCGGTTCAATTTTATTTCCAGGATCTTTAAATCGTAACAATGGCAGATCAACCAACAAGCCCATCGAAAGAGCAATCAGGATTACCGCAACTAGAGGTGCTGGACCGCGTGAAGAACATACCAGTAGTGCAGTCGGGCATCGAGAAGACCGGCTCGATATACTCGTACGTCAAGGACTCTCATCACTTGATCAATTGGGCTCTCAACTATGCAGAAGCTGGACTGCACTACGCCACGGCTACGGCTGTACCATATGCTACTCCAATAGCCAAAAAGTTTGAGGGGTCCATTAATACCGTCGATCAGAAGCTCTGTCAGGGTCTTGACATTGTCGAGCAGAAAGTGCCGATTGTTAAACAACCTCCTCAACAGGTTTGTCCGTTTCTTTTAATTTTGGATTGTAGAAATTTACTAACTTTTATTTAAGTTTGCTGTAATGAAGGAATTAAAAAGTAAAGTCCAGACAATTCAAGGATTCTATGAATATATATTTAATTTAATAACTTTGATTTTTCTTGTTATAGATTTACGATGCTGCTAAAAACGTAATGAACAGTTCGCTTCAACCGACAATAGAGAAGCTTTTGGCAGCAAAAGAATCTGCAACCACTCAGGCGCAACAATTGAAAGAAACTAGTGTTAACAAAGCTAATGAAATTCTCAGTACTCATTACGGAGCTCTAGCAGTACAAGGTGTCGATAACACTAGTGTCCTCGTGAGTCGTCTACTGGATCATTATTTTCCTCCTGTTGAAGGCGAAGAAGCTCAACCAGGTAATTATTGCAATTAGTTTATTGTAATTTACTAATTGTTGACTTATCAGATTAAAAAGTAATTTTTATTTAATTTTTAGCTCCAGTCTCGGCTGACGAGAACAAAGTGTTACACGCTGTTCAAACTATAGGTCAGTTGTCAACCAAAACCGCCAACAGAGTTTATCATTCCGTAGCTGCGCAATTGAAGACTATCAAGAAAGAAGACGTTGCAAATTATATATCTAGTGTTGTCTCTATCCTTCACTTGACGAACTTCATTAACTTGGGACAGGCTTCAGGAAACGGAGCAACTGGTTCAGCGACTGAAAATGGTAGCTCTAACAGCGAAGCAAAAAACGAACCAAAAAACTAATAACGCTATAATTTTACTTTATAAATTTTCTATTTGTTTAGAAAAAATACTAAAGAACAAAAAAATTGTCATCAATTACCATATTACTCGTTTTTATATACTTTTATATTCGTTTATATCACTTTTTATAATTGTGCTGAGAGTCTTATCTAATCAAATACTGTTAAATTACAAATGTGTGATGGAGGCGACAACTTTATTAAAAGTACGTGGGATATTTTTTATGAAAATTTTTTTATAAATATATCACCTTAAAAATTTTTGTAATTTAATGTGATTTTAATGAATATATTTCATAATATTTATAATAAATGTATTTTTGAAAAGAAAAAACCTTTTATATAATTGAATAATTCTTTGAATTAAATATTTGAACTTTAGATTTATTATATTATTATAATATAACATATATGTACCGTCGAATAAAATTTTCACACTAAATATTGTTATATTACTGCACGAACTGAACGCTGAAGTTTAAATATTTATTTCTCAATAGTGTCGCTACTGTGCAGGAAATACATCATAATTAACAGTTTAGTTAAATGCTGTATTCTGCAACGCAAAGAAGCATGAACTATCACATGCACCGAGTATAGTTCAGCTTCAGGTGATCTCGATCTGGTGTTTCCTGAGAATCCTGAGATGCAATGGTGGCGCGTCGGTCGTTCTTTTCTCTATATTCTATCGACTATCCTTCTCTCACTCCTAGTTCGAGAGTGAGAGAGACAAAACGAATACAGTTAGTGCTGTAACGCGTGTTAGAAAGAGATGGCTAATAATTTTGGAGCACAACCTACGTGAGCACTACTTATAGTAATAGACCCTAGCTCCAAGATGAGTGTTTTCATTGGAAAAATTTAGTGAGTGTTGGCAAAGACGCGCGTTCTAAGCTTAGTTTACGAAAAACTAGCGAGTATTTTTACAAGTAAAAAAAAATCCAAGGCATATTTATACGCAGTGATAGTAAAGAGGCTGACTGCCTTGGTCTAAGGCCATCATGATCATGATGACAGTGAGTATGCAGTGCTCGTACAACACCTGCTGATGGCGTAGAGCCAGACTGGCAGAATCTACACGACGACGAAGCCAAAAAGACGGCCCTTTTTCTTTTTATCGTGGAAAGTGAAGCGTGAAATCACATTAATGCAGTTTCCAACGACGAAGCTTCGTCCGGGATGCCTTGAACGAGGCTACCGAACCATCATTAGCTTCAATATCTTTCATAACAACAAGGTACTGTTTTCATCTTTCACGCTATCTCTATATTTTTTCATATTTTTTACAGCTACGTTTGCAATGAATTTTATCTAGTAAATTTTTAGTATGATAATCTTGCTTCAACTTGCTTGCTCAATACTTTGTTATTAACCTATCCCATTGCTATTGCACTTACTTTAGTCATATATCAATTTTTACTTTAATAGATTATTATTAGATACTATGTATTGTATTAGATATAAAATGGATCCACAATAAGATCAATAATTGTATTAGACATTATCATACTTGTGAATAAAAATTCATTTTAAAGCAATAATATAGACAATGACATTGTTCAATTTTTATTGTTCATTATTTTTTTTATAATTGCCTGAATAATTTATCTGATCTAAGTACCTATTAAGTAATTTAATTTCCATATGTGATCACTTCCATTTGTACTTAGTTTATTGTCTTTTCATGCATATTAGACTATTGTATGATTCAGTGCTAGAGTAATAACAACATAAACTTCTATAAGTAAAAATTTGAAAATTTTTTAAATATCCTTGTATTATTTATGTTTTTCAAAATGACTGTAGTAAAATACTTTTAACTGTCTTTATACATCTAAAATATTAATTTTTTATACAAACTACAATATTATATAAATATTGATTAAAAATACATATATGTTTGTATTTTAAGTTGAATCTACCTCCTCATTTTCATATATATTGATATAAAAGTAAGCTGTTGCAGAGTAAAGAGTATTTGATTTTTTGTTTATTTATTGTAAATGCCATTTAGCTCTTAGTAAATTTCTTTTATAACAACATTTGTGTTTGAATATTTTTCAAGTATTTTTGGAAGTTTTTAGCCAAAAAAATTTTTCAATTAATTAGTTTTACAATACTTTTAACTAATTTGACAATATACTTAATTATTTACAGTTGTTGATAAAGACTGTCAATTCAAGACTGATCTATTGATGCAAGGAACAGTTGCTGTTATTATTGCACATAGACAGCATCAATGGGAAACTGCTTTTTATGTTTTAAGGTGCCTCCTTCACCAACAACTAATCAGTCGCCTATTTTGGAGCACAAAGACGGTATGAATTTATCCTTAACATAAAATATATTTAAAAATATTTAAATGAAATAATAAAATGTAAAATAAATATATTTTTTAGAAACAATGGAATTACGCACCTTGTTTCCTCAACATACCAGACAAAATAATATAACTACAGAATCACACGTTAATGGGAATAAAAAATCATCTATAACTACAATGTCAACTTTTAATGGCGTGGGTTCCGATAATTGTGGTACCATTCCTATGGTACATGGTAATCTACGTTTATCTCGAGGGTTTTATTCTCGGATACCACCATTAGGGCGGTCAACAACCAATCCTGGCGTCAACTTTACCAACGACTCCAAAAATTTAAAAGAACGTTTTGAAATCAAACTCAATGCGTTGTTTGATCATTATAAGGTAACCATATTTTCTACGATTCAGTTGTGCGACTAAAAAATTGAAAAGTATTTTAGAAGAAAAATAAATTATTCGGCGCGAATTATATGGTTTTACTTTATAGGAACCAAATGAGGACCTTATATTAGCAGATGGAATAGAACGGATTTGCCAGGATCTCCAACTATCTCCAGATGACTTTAAAATTCTGGTATTTGCATGGAAATTGAACGCAGAACAAATGTGCCAATTCACACGACAGGAATGGATCAATGGCTTGAAATCTATGAAGGTAGATAGCATTCGAAGCATTCAACTTATGCTACCTGAGATTGTCCAAGAGCTTTCAACAAACGGCGAGTTATTTAAGGATTTGTATAGATTTACATTTCGTTTTGGACTCGATGTGAGCGCAGGTCAAAGAATTTTACCTGCGGAAATGGCTATTATTTTATGGAAACTCGTATTTACGGTTCGCGAACCGCCACTATTACAAAGGTGGTTAAAGTTTCTTGAATGTCATCATGTTAGAGGTATCCCAAGAGACACTTGGAATATGTTTCTGAATTTTGCTGAGAGCATAGGTGATGATTTGGGAGCTTATGATGATGCAGAAGCTTGGCCAAGTTTATTTGATGATTTTGTTGAGTACGAAAATGATCAGATGAATCAGAACATTACTAAAGACGAGTTCATGAAGGCGGCCGACGATTAATCACCTTGTGATTATTCAGAAAAACCTTCTATTTTATTGTGTCGGAATTTTTACACCATTTAGTGAAAAATACGATGTTATCTTATCAATACCTTTAATTTTTAATATTATCATTTTACGCAAAACAAATCTTTTAATCAGTATTAAATAATTAATGTTTGGTTATTCTGAGTATAGACTTTACCAGTGATTGTGTTGCTAAATATGTAAAAATTTAAGACTTTATTGTTGTGAAGATTCAAAATTTACAATCGATTAAACAATTAGATTTGATGATATCCCAAAATATAATTATGCTCGTCTTTCAACTCTAATAGTGTAAAAATGTCCAAAAGTCATTCAAACTTAAGTGCAAGTTTCAAATAAAATTTTTATGAATTTTTAAATAAGCTTGCGATCTCTGTTTTTTCTACTTAGAATTATTTTTTTATTAAATGTGAAGTTACGAAGTTTTTAGCAATTTGATAACCGTGATATAATTATATTAACAATTGACTTTTGTTTATTACATAAAGCTTTTCATTAATGACAATATGTCCTTAAATAGTTAATTTTGAAAAATGTAGTACCGATGCTGATTTAATATAGAGCATTATAAATAACAAAACTTATAATAGAATACTAAGAAAAAAGTTTTATTGAGAGTAGCGATTATGAGTAAATTTACTTTAATACAAAATTTTATATAAAGATTTTGCGCGTAAAAGTATATAAACACACATATATATGTAAAACGTGAAAGTTTTAGTAAAAAATATTTAGCTGTGCAAAATATTTTTCTTCTAAAAATATCTGTTGATGCCTTATCAAAGTATAGATTTACACAGAATTTGTAATTTTGTTGCGATTTGGCTTTTTTATAACCTATATCTTCTGTCTTTCCTCTGATGTTTCAATACTTCCAATTTTTAATAAGTATCCACGTTGTTTTAATGAATACAATCACGGCATATATGTGTGTGTATAAATATTTATGTATAAAGAAGTATATTGACAAAAGCAGTGCAGATATTTAATTGTACACTACACTGATCTAAACTTGTGATACACACATGCTCGAACTTATCTATCATTCACATATTGTCTCTAAGTGTAAGATAGTTATGGAAGAAACGAAAGGAAATTTAGATCAAACTGTATAGAGAGTAGTCAGATATTTGTGGTATTTTATATAAAAGACTAACGCGATTAGTTGATTGATTCCTGTAATATATTTTAAGAAAGAATGTAAATCATTATATTCAATCACAAAAATAATTCACAGAAACGTTTATTCAAAAAATATTATGTTTCTCGTTTATAATGTATTTGTATCATTGGTTATAAATCAATTATAATGTAGGCAATTTATTTATAGTATATAACAATATTAGTATTTGAAAATTTTCATTTTATGTCAAATATCTGCAAGGTAAAATTTATCAATATATCAGTTTAATTCATAATGCTTAAACTGGTTTTTGCTCATAGTATTACAGCTAACTAATGAATTAGTTGATTTTAACTTTATTAGTAGGAATTGGATTTCACTTTATTATGACTAACAATCATATGTACCTAAAATCATTCTATTTCTAACGTATGTTTAACGTCCGATATTTTAAAGCAAGTAAGAAAAAAAATGTTATATACTGCCAGAAAAGGTAACTGGAAAATTTGAATTTCTTAAAGCAAGATTTAGAAATGTGTAAAACATACAGTGTCTAGCCAAAAAAATCTTTTTGAATATTTCAGCTCTCAGATTCATTTTAATTTAATTTTCTAGCTACAATTTTGATCTCACATTTTTAACAGTAAGGGAGTGCTTTCTTTTGTAACAATAGTATTTAGATATGCATTTCTTATCATTAAATAACATCTGTCTAAATAAATTAAATTTTGTATGGATTATAGTATTGCTTCGAGTGATGAGAATTTTTGCCAACATTACATAATAATATCATTTAATATCGAAAAAGTATAGTATTATAACTGAACTTTATTTTAGCTTAACTGAGAAATTCCGAATGCGCACGATTATTTAACATTGGGATCGATCAATTTACGTGGTTTACGCTCTGAAGTTTATAAATATCTTTTCGTTTTATTGAAATTGTTACGATGTACACATTCACATATAACTATGAATAAGATGAAAATGATGAAGCTTTAGATTATAAAAGACTACTGTCGAAATTTTGTATATTATGGAAAAGTTTTAACTTGTATATGCGTATCATTTATCGAATTTTCGGCTATGGAATAATGAACTATTTATTAATAAATGAAAAATCATGTGATAACAGAATATAACGATAAATATATTATGTGTACATCTGAATTAATGACAAAATAGATATTTTCAGTGTTTTAGAATGTAGCACTGAACAGACGCAATATTAACTCAAATTTTCACCGAGGGAATTGCCTGAATTTATTAAATATGCTTTTCGAGCAATGTACATATTCTAATTGTATTGAATACAATTAGACTTATTAATCAATTTAATCTGCTTGAGCACGGTGAAAGTTTTTGTATTCTTTTTTTATTTGTCCGCTTGTTTTTAAACGTAGTATTTTTAACATACGGACAATATTATTCATTTGAACTTAGTTATAAGTTTATAATATTAAGAAATTTAAGTATGTGCACTGCAATATGAAAGATGTCACATTATTTTTATGCAATCTTATAATGATATTATTTGTTTTAATTTATGTCTAGACTATTATTATATTAGAGTTATGAAGTACACCAATGTACAGTACTGTTTATAAATTTTATGACATGTAAAACCTATCACTTTCTAGTTCTTGAAATAACACAACAAATGTTATTTTTAAAATATTAAAATTTTCAATAATTCCAAATCAATTATATTAAATTTTCATTTCCACAGCATCAAGCAATGAAATTTACATTTTTGTTAAATAATTTCATGGTATCTAATTTTTCACTGCAATTGAATTTTTCGCAAATCTTAATATTTTAATTGAAAATTTAATATCTTAGTTAGGTTTAGCTAAAACTATAAAATTGAAGGCGCGATTTTTGTAATGTAAATATAAAAATTATTTAGGGTTCATAAAAATTCGTACTGCGGAAAATTGCCTCTTTAAAATCAAGATGATCTTGTAAGATCGACATGTCAGCTAATTCCTAAATAGTCGTAATTGATTCTTTACAAAATATTTGTGGCCTTCATGATCACAGAATATAATGCTGAATGCAAAAAATGGATAAGAAATGTATCGGCAAAGAGAGCTCTATTAATATAGTAAATATATCATAAAAATGTCTTAAAGTTAACAATTAACGCGTGTATTTACTGAGCTTGAACAGATTTTTTGCGTGCAAAATTCATTGGGTAGAGATGAAAGTTACGGAAAAATGCGAAATATTTAATGGAGCATCAATTGAACTTACATTTACATGCTATAAAGGAAAGTGCCAACGAGCTGAGGAATGTTAATATTAAGCCTACAGAGTGATGTGTGCTTACTGATTACATGATATAATAAATCTGTGTATTTGTAAAAAAATTTTATTCCAAAGTCTCCTTCTTTCTTATTACTTCTTATGCTAGTAGACATTTTGTACTAGGCTTAGCAATTAAAAAAATTTAATACATCGAATTTTAATTATCAATTTTTTATTTGTCATTAACAAGCAATTTTACAATTCTTGAACTCCTTTTTGGTCCTTTAATCAGTAAATGTTGATTATTTGATATTTTTCAAAATATTCTTTAGTTTCAAGTTCTCTCTATATATGTCTGTAGCATATAAAAATGAAAAAATACATTATAACAAATATTTCAATTTCTTCTTCTTGAATATTTATAGACATGTAATCTGTGATGCCATGACAATTTCTTCCTTTTCAAGTACTACAGACATTTATAGGGCGACCTTAAGATTTTTCAGGTTTTGATAATGATAAACCAGAACCATTAACACAATAAATAATAACATTTATTTGCAATTCAGGATAGGTTCTGACATTACGATGTATAATACAGTTTCATTGTTAGGATTAAAAAAAGGTATGTTTACAGTGTATGAACAAGTAATGAAATAACACAACTATCCATGCATCCAGATTTTAAACTTCGGAATTCCGCGTATTGCTTGAAATTTACACCCATTTTTTCAGTGTTACGAGCGTAGCCCATTTCTTTATCAAGATTACGGAAGCTTCGATTTCATTTATGGGATGGATATGGGTTACCTTGACATTTATCGTAGATTTTATTTACATTTGATAATAATGATTTCCATTTCCAATGCAAATAAAGCTCGCGTGGTAAAAAATGAAATACTTCAAATTGTCTACAAAAAAGAGAAGGCATTTTCATTGGACTGCTGCCTCAATGAAATGTCATATTGTATAATAAACAAATGTAACAAATCCACAATGTCATTCGAGTGCACACACTAGCATCTCATAAATGCACGCGCTTCTGTATGTACAACATAAATTGTATAAAAAGATACAAAAATGTTTCACTTCGTCAATATGGAGACTCCACAACCAATGACTTTTGATTAAAATAAAAAAAAACGCTTGTTGTGAAAAGTTATTTTAGCTGTGGCTTTTTTTCAGAATCAAATTCGAATAGATTATAAATTATAATGCGACGTGAATTACAATTATTATACAATAACTCATATATATATTAAACTAGATTTGTATGTAAACATTGAGATCTCTGCACTGCACAGGGGCATCTCTTACAGAACTAGAATAAATGCGGGTTGGCTACGTTAGTAAGTATATATATTTTTTTTAAATCTTCATAAATTACTTATATAATTTTAATAGAAGTTTTAATTTTGTTTTTTATACACACTATAGTAGTAATTTTCATTGCAATTTAAATACAGTTGCTTTTCTGATTCAAAGGTTCATATTGTCGCGGCGAATTCCTCTCTGGCACAAACATTTCATTATAGTGACTCGCGAAATTTGCAATATAAATTATTTTTGTTTGATTAAATTTAAATCATTGATTTCCTTTAAAACCTGAACTCATTTCCGAATGTTTTTCAAAGCTTAAAGCATCTACAGTGTTAAATTGTATCCAAGGATGAATCATTCAAAGAGCACTCGGAAACAGTTTTCTTTTATTGAAATTGTTCAGATATTTATCTGAAATATTCTTTATATCAATTAGAACTTGAAACTTTAGAATTTCTAATTTACCTGTTAACGTATATTATTATTGTTATTATCGACCACCAATACTTTTTATCATTAAATTTGTACATTTATTTATCAAATAGAATTTGATTACCAGAGCAGACTTCAGCATTAATTTTTTAAAACATAATAAGAATTTCTATTGATCATTTCTCAAATTTATTTGCTGACTCAATCAACTCAAGTCAGAACTTTGATAATTCAATGGTTTACGATTATAATGCTATTTCTTCTTTACGTTCATGATACTATACACGTTTATAATCAATAGACCAAATTAGAAGCACTTGCTTTTTCATAAGAATATTTAATATTTTTTTCGTTACCAATATGTTTTTCGGAAACTGTACCTATAAAGTATATTTCATTCACCAACTGGTTTGAATTCCTGGTGGCCACAAACAAATACGAACTAATTATTGAATATTGTGTAAAAATACAAGCCAATACAAGCAAAACAATTTTAACACTATGAATATTTTTACCTTGTATAAGATAATCCATTGACGCAGTAAAAATAGTAAACATAATATAGCAATTAATCTAGAAAAGAAAATTACAACAAAAATTTTACTGCAAACAAAAGATTTACTTAACTGTATAATTATTTGGTAACATCGTTTTTTATCTATTTTTTTTGTCGCAAAATAAAACATTTCTTTTAGCAATAGCTTGAAACGCGATAATTTTTCATTAATAATCGAAAAGTATAATTAAAACAAATAAATAAACATACATTAATCGGCGCTTATTTAACAATGCAGGACTTTATTATTTAAGCAGACTTATAACGACCACTTCGTTGATTCGTTCTAAATATCACGTAGTGTTATAATTTATATGCCTCGTTTTCAAATCTTGAACACGTCACGACAATAAAATATATATATATATATATATATATATAGCCAGTGCATGTACTAATATGTATTATTAATATACACGTATCATTATCAATTTTTTGATGATACTGAATGGTTCTTAATTCTCCTGTATCAACTAAAGAAATGGTCGTAGTAGTTTTTGTTTAGTGCCTCGCGTATCTAGCTTTAAAGACATTCTATCTCTTATTTTTTCTTCTTGCACACACATTTAAGTACAACTTGCAAGTGGCTAACAATCATTGCCATTGTTCAACAGGTAGATTTTTATTTCAAATTGCGTCTCCCTATGCAGACTCAATTTTAGACCAAATATTTATAACGATCTATTAGCGACAGGAGCGTTTCAGTGCTATGAACGAGTAAACTCTTTATGAGAGGCCTTTGTGTCAGCTAATATGCAATTTAATAAGACATGAATAATCGTTAATCTTCAATAATAAAAAGAAATTGGTATATTCATTGAAAAATAACATTGAAATAAATGAAAAAAACTTAAATATTATTTTATTAAGAATCTTGACGAAAATCATTCAATAGTAGGCATAGAAATGTTCAGTTACAAATAAGATTGTTTGATCAATCTAAGAATATATATCTATATAGGTATAGTACAGTTTTTTTTAATACTGGTTAGTAAAGAAAACCTTACTCATGCCTGTATTGAACTACAACGTTCTTTGTATATAGATGGATGAGATGGAAGATAAATGGCGAGAAACAAGCGAGTTTATGTAAAATACTAATACTTCTCTTAGATCACGATACGCGACAGTACATGAGATTTGTGTTGCAGTTTGTTGCTATTGTTATTAAACGTAAGGATAACAGATAAGTATAATTAACAAATAAACTCCTATCATTATTAGTTCGCTGTGGTGGCCTTGGAATATATATTATTTATAACGACATTATATGGATGACCTTTTTAGTAAGCTGGAGCCTGGAAGTCACCCATACCTCTTTGTTGTTGTTGATTGAATGGAGGATCTTGATAAGCAGCATCGGTAGCATCTGGATAGCTCGTGTAACCTTGACCTCCAGTTGGGTCAGCCTCGTAACTAGGAGCGAACGCAGCGTCGGTTCCCTGCTTGAATCGTTGGAACGCGAACCAAGCGCAACCAGCCTGTAATAAACGATGATTGTTATGCAACTGGCTGTTAAATGCGTCGTGTCAGTTGGTCGTACATTGCAGACGAATGAAATATAACAGGAGATGAAAATTCGAACGTACCCATGTAAAGATAGAAAAGAAGCTGAATGCAATAGCAGCTTGTACATTATTTACACCAACGCCATCCTTTGGTCGTTCAGCACTGCTCCACGAGCTCCACAAGTAGCAGAATCCAACGAAGTAAAGGAAAGCCCAGAATCCAGAGAAACTGAACATATAGAACATTTTTGTTGTAAGATTTATACGTGCACTGTATCTTTCGGTATACAGTGCTTTAGAAAGTCGTGCATACCCCAGATCACCAAGAACATAATGTTTTCGAGTTTTCACGGAGGACATCTGTTCGAACAAGTATTCGCCTGCCAGGAAGCCAATACTCGCCAGGAAGGCAATCACACCAATTGCTGTGCCATAGCTGCAAGGTGAACTTGACTCTTTATTGTATAGACAAATTTCTCTTCCATTTTCTTCTCGGTATCCTTTGCTACTTATGCAGCCAAATACAATGATTGCAAACAGCTGAAACAAAAATTCGTAAATGTTATCACGGTATTCAAAGTACTCTTCACCAATTCAAAGTACTCCCACACTGCAACAGTTCAATAGTTTGGATTGCTATTCAGAGAAATGTTTTTAAAACCTTCTTTACAAAGGTTAACGGAAAATCAATAGTGAAAATCAGCATCTCTTTTGTTTGAGAGCGTAACGTCTTTGATTCAGGTGGACATTGACACGGCAAATCATCCATCAATTAGATGTAATTGACAGCTGCTCCTTAACAAGCCTACTCATCCAGTTCATTCAAATGTGAATTTTAATCAATACTTGACAGCTAGCCTGAAATAGTTCACTGAATAAGCTTAATCTTTTTACATTGCCAGTCAAGTGGCATTAATCAATATCTTGAAAGTCTGGTAAAAATTATCATTTTTTATTCAGGTCAGCGCGCGTCTACCTACGTATACTATAATGTTTCCGAAGGAAGGAAAATCCTAATAATTCCACGTTTCTAACTATAAAAATAGCAATCAATCAAAAGTATAAGCAGTATGTCTTGACAACTCATCTATATTTCTCGAGCTCAGCACAATATGTGGAGCATCAAATTTACATGTCCTCGTCGCGTTGGGGCACAACTAAAAAGACCTTGCCTCTCCATCTCTCTCACTCTCTCTCTCTCTCCCTCTCTCTCTTTCTCTCTCTTTCTTTTTTCTCTAAAATAGCAAAGGCCAAATGAGGGACCGCGCGATCAATCGATGGGCAATGAGGTGAGAAATCGGCCTCCGCAACGGCTGACCCAAAATACCGATGTAATGCAAACACTGCGTTACTGTTAAAGTATGTTGAGAAAGGAAAGAAATGGAAAAGTAGCGTACGGTTGTGTGTCCTCGACGTTTGATGTGAGCGAGGGAGAGAGAAAGAAAACGATAAAGCTGCGCGCGCGAAAGAGCTTACCACCCCTCTCTCCCTTCACGCGCACTCAAGGATCCTCTCGGCCGGTCGATCGTGAGCACTAGGCTAGCGCGTCCTGAATCTTATGGGCGAGGCGAATTGTCAGATCGAACTCGGTACTATACCTCTTTCAACTTTTTTCATTTGGAGTCTACGTCTTTGGCCATTTATGGGAAAACGGTGGGGAGGGGGGCAAGTGTTTGTCCATCTCACTCTAATCCACACGAAAATCAATATAGAGAACAGCCCCATCCGGGAGAAAAAGAGACGTAGGAGGGGGGAGCGGCACAGCGTGTAGTTCGCTTGCTGTCAAAAAAGAGGCAATGGCGGATATCGCGTGAATTAGTAGTGAGCGCTTAATTAAGTCAACTGGTTGAGAGACTTACGATACATAACCCTCGAAGGATAACTGCGGGCCTTTGTACGAAAGTGATAGGGTCGAATGGGGCTCCGGCTTTGCCGCCTCCGTAAGCTCCACCACCGTCCATTTTAGCGCGACTGACACTCTACTCGCGACGTGAGCCCACGGTAACTTTCGAAAGCTCTGCACGAGAGAGGGAGCTTTCGATCCTGCGCCTACACGCGCATCTTAGCGCACGCGCTCATTTATAATGCCACAGGTCTACCAATTTCTAGGCTCTGTTTCTTTTATTTTATTCCTCAGTTTGTCTTGCCGATCGATTTTCATTAAAGCGCCAGTTTTTAATTTTACGATGTTCATTCAGATCCTTCTTCGTGATATTCATTTCATGAATGGTATGAAAAAGATTTTCAATTAAATTCATTTTCTTCATAGATTTTATTAATTTTGCATAGACAAAAAATCAACCATACAGGTATACTATACATACACGTCTTATTCTACAAGAGTGCTGAGTTTAAAGAGTTTATAGAATCTAATTTACATTCATGTTTCCTTTTCTATAGAGTGTATATTGTTTTCTTTCTCTAAATGCAATCACTTTCAAGTATCAAAAATGCCATGCTCGTTCGATACTTTAACAATATTTTTATAATTTAATGCCTTAATTTTCTTATAATATTTTTCTTTATCGAATATCACAAATTTATAACAACTCTTCATGGCTTATTTTTATGGAATTTTAACGACATTATAAATGAATTTAAAGTTTATACTTTTGGTCTAGAAAATAATTTCAAAAAAGAGCGCCAATGGTGTTCCGTCAGTATTGTCACTTGTCAAGCAATGTCGCTGGAAAAATTGCTCTCAGGGACTCTAGAAATTCCGGCACTAAATTTTTTTATATTTGGGTTCCGTCGGCTGCTCGACCAGTGCCGTATTCACCTTCAACTGAAAATTTGCCGGTACCACTGCTCGTACTTTTTTGGTGATAAATAAACATGACAATGTTATTTATTATTGATAATTAAGATCACCTGCGTAGATTTGGCAATGGAACTAGCCTGCTGGTGTTCATTTTAGATAAGTGCCAGCTCTTGTGCATAATTGAAGTTAAACTTAATCACCTAAATCCTGTAATAAATAAATTACGCGCAAAGTAATAAAATCAAAATTAAATTATCAGGTACATAAAATAACAAACTCTGAGGTTATACATTCAATCAGAGTAAGCACTTATCTAAAATGAACACGCAGCAGGCTAGTTCAATTGCAGAATCGATGAAGGTGATCTTAATTGTCAACAATAAATAACATTGTCATGTTTATTTATTACCAAAAAAGTACGAGCAGTGGCACCGGTGGGTTTTTAGTTGAAGGTGAATACGGCACTGGTCGAGCAGCCGACGCAACCCAACATTCAGAAATCTAGTGCCGGAATTTCTAGGGTCCCTGAGAGCGGCAACCGAATGGAGCACACTTTGGAATTGGTATGGTCGGCAGGGTCGGCTGCTACCTTAGGTTTAGCTCCTTGTGAATTTGGTATCTTGTGAATTCGGAATTGGTAGAGGTTAAAGCGTCAGTTTATTTATCAATGACTATTTTCATTACATTCAAGCTAATTAAATGAATGATTACGCATTAGTGTGAAAATTCACATCAGCTGTACTGGTAGATGTGTAAGAAATTGTAATGAGAATCATAAATGAAAAATACGATGCAAAACATGATTAGAGGTCACCATTAAATATATGTAAACAGAAATAATGTAGATATACATATTATCAGCAATGCTTAAAATCATGTAATTCACTATAAAGTTATATAAATTCACGAAAACTGACAGATTATCTTATCTAATGCTGGAGTCTCGGTTGCTTGATCCGGCAAATAGATTTGTCTGAACATTTTTACAAAGGCGTTGCCATTAAGCCGGCTATAACATGCTCATTTCAAGTCTTATTCAACAAGTTCATGAAAAATGGTTCACTGTGCAAAAAAAAACGACGCAAGGAGTGCAATCGGCCAGAGATGCTGTATTTCGTGGTGGATTGATTATAATAACTGGTATACTCATAGTATGGATATCAATTTTTCTTTATACTGCATTTTACTATGCCTACATGCCAAGTATGACTTATTCAAGACCTGTACATTTACAATTTAAGTAAGTTTATTTAATTTTAATTTAATTTTCTTTTTCTCTCAATACATTATAATAAGTAACATATTTTTTTATAGATCATGTGATCAAGAGAGAGGTGTATGTAGCTTTCCGTCGGCTCATGTACAATTGACAAAGAAGCAACAGTTACTCATGGTTGGTCAGCCGTACAAAGTAAACTTGCAATTAGAAATGCCAGAATCTCCAGCCAATAAAGAGCTTGGTAATGATATTTCAATACTCTTCTTAATGAAAACTTTCTTTCGTGAATAGAATGTTGTATTTTTGAACCTGATTTATTTATAATCATCACAAATAAATTTTGTTCTCGATGAAATCTATTTCATAAGCAAAATTTATTTGATTGTATTTTGTAGGTATGTTTATGGTTTGTGCGCAGTTACGCAGTCGAGATGGAGTACTTGTTGATCATGCGTGCAGATCAGCCATGTTACATTATCGCAGTACTTTATTGCACATGCTGACTACTCTTACTTATTCACCCATGATGATTTTTGGTAGTACTGAAGAAAAACAAAATATTATCCTAGAATTATTTGGAAATTTTGAAGAAGATCAAGTTAGGAGAAATTATTTATTTAATTTATAATTTATTTTTCTGTTATCATTAAAATAATCTTTTTTTGTAGAGTCATCCTGTAACACTTATTTATGTTGAGATTCAATCTAGGCATATTGAATTTTATTCAGCCAACATAATGATCAATGCTCACTTGTCTGGCCTACGCTATTTAATGTTTCATTGGCCCATTTTGTCAGCAATTGTCGGCATTAGTACCAACTTGTTTTTCATAGTACTTGTATGTATTTTATCATACTTACATTTTGCTAGTGAAGAAGAAAATGCCGATGAAAGCTTTAGTTATGAAAAAGGTGACTCCTCGGAAGAAGACAGAGATCTCAAATTTCCAGGTAAATAATGACTGAAATTGTACTATTTTATGAAATTGTTATTTCTGTAAATAAAATTTCTTTCTGAACTAATATTCTACGTTGCAGCAACTTCAGATACTTCCTCTATTGAAGACACATCATTATTAGAAGACATTCCAAAATCTCAAGATGACAGTCCTTCGCTCTCTTCAACAGATCCTGTCTTAAGTAAATCTAGTTATATTCAAGAATTATCACTAATGTCAGAATCAACCAAAGAGGAACTCAACAAATGAACATATTTTTCAATTATTCTTATTTCTAATGTATAGAAAAAAGGGAAAAGACCTAGGTTTATGCGAACGAGGATCAATTTCTATGGCATTTTTAGTTAATCAATCCTTGATAAGATTGATATCTTGTGATATTTATCTTTCAAAGTACCTGAAGATTTTTGTACATTTCGCAAAGCATTTAAACATTTGTTACAATTTATGTATTTAGTAATGCGTTGTTGTTATTACTTCAGATCAAGTAAACTATATTTTTTTCGGTTTTTAATTTAACTATAAATTTATATCAAAATGACAAATTAAATATTAAGACAAGATGACATTTATTGAATGATTAATTTTTGAATCATGGTATAATAGATTTTGAAAGTTTCACTTGTTCTCAAGTAAAGTTTAATTGCAACAGCTATGTAACAAAAATGATTAGATTTGTAATACTTAAAAATTTATTACACAAGTCAAACTCTTGCATAAAGTCGCAAAGGTTTTAAGATTAATAAGTTTTAAATTATTATAATTTTTATATTGTATCTATAAATAGTATGTTTCTTTTTCTGTCAGAAAAATTTGATAACTATTTTTGTGATAATCCTCGTATAATATATATTTTTTCAAAATGCAATTCGAAACTTATTTAGTCCGCTCTAAAAACAAATTATAAAACAATCAATGATCAAATGTGAATAATCTACGTTTCTTTAATCGACGTCGTAAAAAAAATTACAATAATTCACTAGTTGACTCTCTTTTCGCTTTTAATAATGTGAATTAATCGTCATATCCAGTACATAGTAGCACCTATCCTTTGTTGGTCTGAATTCTCACACACACAACGTATGTAATGCCTCTCTTGGAAGGATACGATTTTTCAGTCCTTGCATACGTGTGTGTGTGTGTATGTGTTGTGCACGGTCGATTGCGCCTAACAAAGAAACGTATAGGGCTACACAAGCTGAGCGAAAGGAAACCTTATTTATTTATCCTTGCGCGATCCAGAAACCGGTTGTACGCGAGTGAGGCGGCGGCTTGGGAGAATGAGAGAGAGAGAGAGAAAGAGAGAAAACGAGCGCACGCATACGGATGCCGATGGACAGTGTATATAGGTATATATATGTATATATATATATATATATATATATATATATATATATATATTGGAGTTCGATCTTTTATCGCCAACAGCCGTCGTTGTGCGTTATTATATGCGAAGGAGGCTTTTGTTTTTGATACCGATATGTTACCCTTCGATGTGGTTTTTGTTCTCGCTTCTGGCAAACTAATGGTTTATATATGAGTTTAACAGAGGGAAGAGAGATAAGCGCCCAATGCGGTGATGGCCGAGATGGTAATTAGAATGAAAAATGGACGATCACCAACTGGGAAAATATAGGCAAGAGGTAGCAGCTGCATGTGGGCACGATTTCTAATCGGCATTAAGAATCATTTTTTTGCTTGATCGTGTTGATGTAATGCCATGAATATCCGCGTAAAAAGCTGCTCGTGCCATATTATAGTCTTGTCACTCTGGTTTTCGAGACAATTATAAATGATTAATCACTTTGCTGAATTGCTCCTGAAAGTATTGCATGATTTCACTGATTTTATACAAGTTTTATTTGGAATTATACATGGGCGGCCGGTAACTCAGACATTCATCACTATGAAATTCACAAATTAGTGGTGAAAAATAATTATAAAATTAATTTTATGATTCACGATGTAGCATGACATAAAAAGCTCAACGTAATTAATTTTAATTCAAAGATAAAAAATCAATATTTTGATGCATGATACAGCACAATTACGAAAAAAAAACGAAACAAAAAAAACAAAAAAAAATGAGATGTATACCTATGTTCGTAACAGATTTTTCTTGCACCAATCACACTGAAGTACCATCGGTTCCTAAAGTCAACAGCTTAATCATCATAAAGTCCAAGAAGAAGAAGAAGAAGAAGAAGAAAAATCTGAGCTGTGAACGCACTTGAAAGATATTTCTCCATAGACCGAACGAAACCCCACTCAACGAAAAATCGACCAAGGCTTCCTGCCCCATGTTTCTTCCTTCTTTGGCTGGCTGCGCGCCTCGTTACTCGAGATTCAGACAGGTGTTCCATCGCTACTCCTTCTCCCTCTCACGTGTTTTTCTCCGAAGAGCTGCTGCAGAACAGTCATGCCGACAGCAGAGATTCTTCTTCGTGCTATACCAACCACGTGTGAAGTAATTAACATACAATAATACACTGTAGCGGAGCGGTTCGCATTGCAGCAAATCACTCGAGCGAGGTTTTCGCCTGCGCCCTTCTTGCGCATCTATACTGTTTTCATTTCGAGATTCGTTCCTCTTTACGATTACCTAAGTGCTTTACCGCTTTATATCCCTGGGGCTCATAAATGCTCCATGTTTTGGGGATATTGTTGACACGCCTTTTCGCTTTGTATTTATGAGCTCCTACAAACCGAGGCTCATCCTTTTAAATTAAAATTGTTTAATTCGAATGGCAAATCGATCGGAATAGCCGAAAGCCAGATTTATGGCCCTATCCTATTTTTTAGAGAACTATGCCGTGGTTCACGGTAAAAGATGTACGATAGAGCGCCTCGCAAAAACAACTTCATTCAGAGAGGTTTCTGAAACACGTATGATACTGTATGGATTCCAAATGGTATGTACGAATGTTACGTCAATCAATATCTACGTATATATATATATATATATATATATATATATATATATATATAGCTATCCATGATGTCGAAATTCAATTTGTAGTATGTAAGCGAAATCGTTTTCGAACATCCTCGTTTACCGAGGTAACGCTCTCAATGTAATTAAAACTTTGTCGGGAGCCGTTATGAAAAAAAGAAATAAAGCACCGAATGAATAATCAAAAAACTCAATCAGCATTAGCAACGTTGATGGTCGTCGTGAAGAAAAGCCTCCGAGAATGCATAAGAGACGGAAAAAAAGTCTCAGCAAGCACGTAACCGAGAAAAAGAGGGGGGGGTGGGGGGAAGTCGAGAACGGATAAATTAAAAAAGAAGCAGCGAGGAAGGCTCGAAGGGATGCTTGCCAGTACAAGGCGCGCGTATAGGTATACGTATACATCTACAATGGGCACAGTGGAGGCTCGCACACAAAAGGGCAGATGCTTGGGCGAGCCCGCCGGATTAACAATTCCATTTAACAAGGGGCTTTTCCGTAATCCGCGCGCTTCGTTTACCGTTTTGTCGCGCGGAAGCCGCGTGATGCCGTTAGAAACGCCGCCGCCGCGCACCTTCCTAATACTTCGATCTCTCACTGCTGTGAGAGTGCTTCCTGTGAAAGTATATCTCGGAATATTCCGCGCGAGCCGTGTGTAATGAGCTGTATATAGTGCTGGTTCAAATCGGTCATAATTGGCGGCTTTGCGCTTGCTCGCAGTAAAAAAGTACATCGGGAGAGGAAGTAGAGAAAAAAATTTTTCTCCGTCGGTAATTACGCGCGCACGAGAGAGCTAGTTGTCTTAGTTTTTTTCTTATCGACGTTCGACGAGAGGATATTGAATGGTCATAATGCATGGTTGGTGAAATCGCTATTCATCTAACCATGCCCAGTGATGCTGATGGATCTGTGATTTTTACTCTGATTATTTGTTGCTGAAAACCATTCTCTCAGCTTATACGTTGTAGTTGAAAATTATTTTCTTCGTACTCATAGAAATGGTCTGCCATTATATGATTTTACCGTTAGATTTCGTTTCGATGATTATGTCTCACTTCTAGAAAACCAAGTGTTCCTTGAATTTCTTATCTGCTTGATAATTAAGTAGCTCGATAAACGGTTATTTTATATTTTAGAACCTTGTTAGCGTAATTTATTTTACGAGCATTCTATTTCCCTTTTATTTGGTTCACGCGTGTATTCAGCGAAATCCTTTTTATAAAATATACTATCAAATAGAAACTGCTAATTAGACGTCCAATTACGGAGCTACACGTAGTGTCATCACAAGTCAACGAGAAAAAAACAAATTTAATCATAAAAATCCGATCAGAACGTGCGGTATTCTTATCACTCAAATCGCGGTATAATGAAGTCATCATCGATAATAACAGTATCTTTTTCGTTGCGTTCCGTGTATCTTTTCCCGCGTAACTTTCATTCCCTTCGGATAAAAGAAAAAAAAGTTAACATAACAGTGTGATAGTTATTCGGCGAGCTGCTGGAAAGCGACAAAAAGTTTAGTTGTGTAAGAGGATAGGCCGTTAAAAATTTCGCACAGCTCGACACGTCGTAAGTTTTCAACGAGTGGCGCCGCTCAAAGCAAAAAAATAAGAAAAAAAACTCATGCAGTTTTCGTAAAATAGCCTGCCTTAAGGACATTCGATCGGTCGGGCCTTGAAAAAAGGAGGGAAGGGGTACGAAAAAGGAGAAGAATATCGTACGCCAGCGAAAATAGCTTGACTCGGTCATGCGTGCAGAACTTGGATGTTATCGGATCTTAATTCGAGTTTGCCAGCCTCAAATCACGTTGATCGAACTTGTGCAGCTTCCCTCTCCCTCGTCTGTTGGGAATTTGAACTTTTCGTGCGTGTATGCGTATGCGCGTGTATCTGGATGTTTGGAATATCGATGGGGATTTTTCGTGAGCTGCCTATAATTGGTAGGTTTGATGCTTTTTTGACGATCTCGAGCCTTATCTAATTGAGGATCAAAAGAGGTTAATCTAGTGTTTCATTGTTCATAAAATTCTATGTAATAAAATTTTTTCCAAATCTTGAGTTCAAATTGAATTTTCCATAGATTTGTGGAATTTCGAATGATAGAAAAATTGAAAGGAATTACATTGAACTAAGACTTTATTATTTATCGCAGACACTCGCGCTATACATTGCATTTCCTTTAGCGACTACGACTTAGCTTAGATGTTGTCTCTTGGATACAGACTGATCTTTCGGACTAAAGGACCCAAGCGCCTTTCCCTTTTACGACCCTGAGGCGAGTTCGGAGGATGGACTTTTCAAAGGACGTTTAATACTATTCCATTCCTAGAGATCTATACGTTTCAACTATACGCTTGAGCTGAACGTGAAATTGGTTAACAAATTTATACACAATGTTCCAAGTAACGTTGTTTTTGTTTTAAACTAGTTATTATATCATATAACGAATAACTTGCTTTACCTAATAAAATTTGTCATGTTAGATTAAGATTAGTCTTAGGTCAGATTTTGAGATATCATGTCATTGTGGTAACTGACGACTGGAATCGTTTTTATGAATATATTAAAAATTCTGATATGCTCTGTTCTTCTGATTCGTGATAAGGAATTAACATGATTATACGATTTCTTCTGAAAATAAATTAGTTGTGTACCCGCACGGTCAGTTTTTCATTCGCGCACAAATTCGTAACTTACGATGGGATGATTTTGAACTTTTAACTGGTAAGCTTAAAAAATTAGACGGAAATCAAGGTACAAGGTGATTGATCAATTTTTATCGAGGTCTGATCAGGAATTGAATATTTGAATGTCTTTATTGATTATTATCTGTAAAAATTATAGTTAGGAGTATCTTAATTTCTAATGAATCGAGTCGATATTGTGTATGAATAAATCATTGCGGTGAG